CGGGAAGGCACGACAAGGTAAGGTCTGTTCCTTCCTTGTCGCCCATAGCGTGTTTCTTATCTGTACATGATTAACACGTAAAAAAAACACCCGATTATCCCTTGCCTTCGGCGTGTCCGTGTACTCCCTTTTGAGAGTCCCGGCTAACGGTTGCAGCCGACAGTCGAACTCGCCGCAGCGCTTAGCATGATACGCTGCGGAGTGGTAGGTTGAGCGGTTGGCCTCGTTGCCGGACGGCGTCACCCCTTTGAGACCTCCACATTTTGGCGCCCCACGTTGGGCGCCAAAATGTGGAGGTCCCAAAGGGGTGACGCTGTCCGGCAAGGAGGCTGACAGTCGTACCCGCCGCAGCGCTTAGCATAATACACTGCGGAGTGGTAGGTTGAGCGGTCGGCCTCCTTGCCAAACGGTGTCACCCTTTTGAGACCTCCACATTTTGCAAAATGTGGAGGTCTCAAAGGGGTGACGCCGTCCGGCAAGGAGGCCGACCGCTCAACCTACCACTCCGCAGCGTATCATGCTAAGCGCTGCGGCGGGTTCGAATGCCGGCTGCAACCGTTAGTCGGGACTCTCAAAAGGGAGCACACGGACACGTCGAAGGCAAGGGATAATCGGGTGTTTATTTTACGTGTTAATCATATACAGATAAGAAACATGCTAAGGGCGACAAGGAAGGAACAGACCTTACCTTGTCGTGCCTTCCCGAGAGCGGGCTCGGAGGTGGGCCGTCAGGGAGGGCCGGGCCACACGTCCGAACAGTTGGATGTCCCCGCGAGCAGTCCCCTGAGCGGGGCGCAAGGCCCCCCTCTCTCTTTCTCCCTCTCCGCTGGCGGCCTCAGCCTCGGACCCAAGAAGTTCCAACCGCCAGAGGAACATTTCGCGTGTCCCCGCAAGGTGGGGGGGCGCGGGGGATGGAGGCATGCGATGCGAGGGTAAGCAGCCAACATGGCTGCTCCTTCGAGGCACGAGACGGGGCGCTCCGGCTGACGGTTGGACAGCTCGGAGCGCTTTTCCCGCTGCCATAGGGCCTAATCAGGGAAGTGGAGCGGGCGGTTCCCACAATTCCCCAAGTACTGCTAGGTCCTACCGGTGACGCTATGCTACGGCTTAGCGTCACCAAGCAGAGCAATAGGCATGGTGCCGTGTGCTCGGCATACTGGCAGACAATATAGGCCGTTAACCAACATGTGCTGACCACTGCCCGCTGCTGCAAACCGAAAGCACCGCTGGCACGTGCATCAGGTGCCGTCAAGTAGCCGACGCAGCTAACGAACAACTGTTCTCAGCGGTCAAAATCTAAAAAAAAAAGAACCGACCAATGGGAGAAAAGTGTGAGAGAGAAACTTTATTCATTGGAAATGTTTGTTTCACCTTAGCAGAGCAAAATATCAAATCTGAAAACAGGAATAATAGTATGTGTTTCATCGTAATAAAAAAAAAAATGTTTCCGTAAATATTTAAAAGAAAACCCACCGGATAAGAGATGGCGCCCAAATAGCCGACTGGAAGTCACTCCAAGATGCTGGAGTCGGCCCCGTTGAGTGCGCTTCTCACCGAGCCCCTGTGCACTGTGGGGAAGCAATACCTGCAGAGCTTGCGGGCTCTGCAGGTATTGCTTCTTCGCAGTGCACGAGTGCTCGGTGAGAAGCAAACTCAATGCGGCTATCCTGCCCCGATTATGCGAGAGTGTATGCTAGGCATCAATGTCTTGACAGCCCGCATTAATAATTCATGCATTTTCTTTTTTTTGCCAAGTCTGAAATAGAAGGAAGAATATTTGCATAATGCGAGCAGATTTATAAATCCCGTCAATTAGTATAGTAGCTGCGACAAATCTGCCGTTTACATGCTACAGTTCATGTAGTTATATTAAAATTAACTGAGCTTAAAAGTGGATAAGTGTAAGGTTGGGAAAGACCTTCACGAGCTCAGTTAAACTTTTGTTTAAACATGGTGCATGGTAGTGAGTAACTATTTGAGATTCAATTAGAAAATATTTTGCCAAAACCACTCTTTGCTTCGAATTCACCTCAAACTCAAAACCCACTATTTGCACATGACTATATCAAAAGTTATTTTCTCAAACTTTCAAAGGGGAAATGGGGCCCATTCCTGAGAGTTTGCGCCATTCAGCCCCATGCACTCGTGGGCTTTGTCAGCCACCATTTTCCCATTGAATATTTTTGAAAATCCCCTCTAACATTTGAATCAGATAACGATATGTCCTGAAACGTTTGGATTTGGTCCGGATTGCTGGTAGTACATTTGGGCAGAGGCTGAGTATCCGGTGATGCATAGTTTATTTTTGCGATTAAACAACCAGGAAAATTGTTTCGGTGACATCCTGCAACTGGGGGGGCGGGGGGCTGGGGGTGAGGGTGAGGGTGAGGTGAGGTGAGAGAGGGAGGGGGAGAGGAGGAGGAGGAGGAGGAGGGGCATCCTTCGGGAAATTGAAAACTTCCCGCCTATGCATGAGTGGGTTTCTGAGCTTGTCTTTACAGAAATGAGGAGGGTCTCCCTCTTTCTCGAATTCAGGGAGAGTTTCTTTCTGGCTGCTCGCCGGCCTTTAAGTCATAAATAAAGATAATTGTCATATATACAATGCTACTATTTCTTTTGGGTTCATTATTTGTTTTCAGTACTGTCTGCTCTTTTTCTTCGGACATATGAAAGGGTGAGCTACATGCGAGATGTTTTTTACGCTTTACAGGCTTTATTAAATCAGCCGTGAAGGTGAATCTATTGTGGTATTTGCAGGTGAGTTACGCAAACAGGGGGACAATTCAGGGGGCTAATAGTCACAATACATATAATTTGCTAAGATTTGTTAAATGTTTTTTTAATTAGTGAAAATAATCATATAGTTCAAATTAAACACTTGCTGAGCATCACCTAAAAACAGTAAGTCGCTAATTTTTAGAAAGATTGAATATCTTGGAAGCACGGAAGTGCGCTAATGTTACCAGACATGCAGCAGGCACAAAATTAGCCTTGTTAAAATGTAGACGATAAAAGAGCGCGGGCACGTCTCTCCCCTGCCAGTAAGCTCCAGTGCACCGCTGTTCTTCCCATGCACTGCCAGTCTCGAGTTTCCTGGTTTAGTGGTTTTCGATGTCACTCAGCAAGTTTGTAATTGGAACTACAGTCAAACGCCTGTGTAACGAAGCGTGTGGGACCGCGATAATTCTTCGTTATACACGTCACTTTGTTATATCCGTCGCGCACTTTAATGACCCCAATAAAGCAGATAAGCAACAAAATAGCCCGTTGTACAGGCTATTTTATAGTAGAAACGTTCGTTGTAGCGGCGTTTGACTGTATATGTTTATCTTCACTAGTTAAAAAGTTGATTAACAATATTTAGTGAATTAACCTTCTTACCGTCACTATTAGCCCCCTATATTATGTTGCCCTGGTCATGTAACTGACCTGACAGACAGCATTAGTGTAGCTTTTGCAGTTTTTTTTTCAAAACAGTCTGAAAAGCCTAAAAACAAACACCCTGTATCTTACAATTGCGTACATTCAATTAAGGTCCGTGTCCTGAATGTTTGTCTGCTCCCGTGCTGTGGGTCTCAGGTTGAATTGGGGTTAGATTTTAGGCATGGGCAAATAGAGGATTTTGGGTCCAATTCGAATTCGAAGCAAATAGTGATTTTGGCCGAATAATTTTGAATCGAATAGTTCGAATAGTATAAGCAACAAATACCACAAGATATGCTTAAACTATAGTTTTATATTTGCCCTTATTTTGTATTAGAAGCACTGTACTTGTTAATTACAAGTGTATTGAGTTCCGGAGCACGAAATGGTCAAAATGGTCGGACGCTTGCGCCACCTGGCCGGAAATCCAAGCCAGAGTATGCCAAACCCGTTTATATCGAACTCGTAAGAAAACGTCTACCAGTTCGATATAGCGGGTAATTCGATATAAAAGCTTTAGTCAACTTGACTCTCGAAAATCCACTTTATGCTGAAATATTACACACTGAAGTAGTCTTGCATCTTCTGCTGCTTTTTCTTCATTGCATCCGCGATAACGATATTTTTCTACGCTATCGACATACTGCAAAATGCTGAGGCCGCTACCTTCTATATTCGCGTATTAGCGCCGAAGTGTGCCGAGAGCACGGAGCACGTCCGAACGGGAGCGCCTTCTCCTGCAGAGCTCCGTTTTGCTCTGCAAGTTGGCTTTCCCCTCCAACAGGGTGGACGCGTTGGGGGAAGCCAGCTAACAGAACAAACCAATATCTTCTTTTTGTTTTTTTTTTTAATTTAGGCGGTTGCCTTTACTGCTTTGAAGAAAAAAAAAATTCTCTTTTGCGGACGGAGCGGGGAGAGGGGAGCACCCTCTCTCGGCTAGCTATATTTTCTGTTCTGGTCGACGCGGCCGCCCAGAAAAAAAGCTAGCGTGCTCTGCAAGCTGGCTTTCCCCCAATGCGGCCGCTCGCGTTGGGGGAAAGCCAGCTTGCAGAGCAAAACGGTGCTCTTGGCAGTAATTAGAATTATAATTAGAATGCAATTTTCGATATATGGGTAGCGGCTGCTATTTTTGTTCGATGCAACCATAGTTTTTGCTATACATTATCACTGTAACATTACTGAGCACAAAAATTTCTCGATATAAGGAATAATTCAATCTAGACAGGTTCAATATAGTCGGGTTTCACTGTATATAGAAAGGTCGAATAATCCTATATTGTCGAATAATTCGATATTGTCAAATACTTAAATTCGATTTGAAGTGAATGCCGAATAGAACAGAATTTGATTGGCTATTCGTAATAACCGAATATTCGCCCATCTCTATTAGATTTGCTCAGTTTGCTTGTCTTGTCTCTTGTGTTCTATTTATTGAATATCCTTGATTTTATGCAAAGTTTTGGAACTTCAAGTTGTTGATGGAGTTGCTGTACTTTCTAATCTTCATTTCTTACAGTAGGCAATGCAGCAGAAATGTCGTTAATGAGTTTTTCATTTTCTCGTCCTTGCTGTTTCAGATACTCATCATCGAGGGGGAAACTGGCTCTGGGAAAACCACTCAGATACCTCAGTACCTTTACGAAGCAGTGAGTACCTGCTGCATACCCTTCTTTTTATTTTAAGGGCCCTCCTTTTACTGTTTCACTACCGGGTCTTTTCCTGGCTGCTCCTCGCCCCCTGCCGAGTTTTTTTCGATTGTCGCCTCAGCGGACATTTTATGCTAGTAACTCGGAAATGGTGCTCCCCCTTGCATGTGCCACCTGCGATATGAGAGCTAGAAATACGTAGAAAAGACATGCAGTCACGTCTTTCCACTGGATCGGTCTGCCGACATAAACGCAGCAGGTACCTGGCGCCGGAAAGCTCTACCACTGCGTCCACAACGGCCCGTCTAAACAAGCCACTTAGATAAGCTGCCTCATTGTTATTGGTTTCATAGAATTCGGAATTGATAGAAAGTTCATCGTACATCAAAGAAGAGATGCGCGTGCCACGGTGATGCGTCATGGCTGCACCGCCAAAACGAAGCGACGGTGCGGATCAAGAAACATGCACTCCACTTGTTTGCCAAAAATTAACGTACAGGTTCTACGTGTTTAAGCGACCTCTCCATAAATGGCGACACAAGCCCGCATCAGTTTTATTTTTTTACATGAGTTAAATTGGGAGTGACACGGAGTGAGCTGAAAATGCAAAACGAGCATGCTCGAAAGTAGCAGGGGGTGTGCCCGGGGGGGGTCAACGAGTTATCTTGGGCGTGTGGGTTTGAAAGGGTTACTGTGTAAAATCCCGAGAGATAGCCCTACTAAAATTGAGAGAAAATTGGGTGGAAATGAGGAGTGAGCTAACTTTCGGTGTGCAATCAATGAAAAAATGCTATCTTTAGGTAATGTGTCTCTGTCAAACTTGTTATCACGGCGATGGGCAATTAAGCAAAGATGACTGTACAGTATAGACCACTTACAACGTAACCGCTTATAGTGCAGGACCGGGTATAACGCGGTTTTTTTAAACCACCGGTTCGTCTCCCATAGAACTCCATGTAATTACATACCGCTTAAAATGCAGGCGCGCGAAGGGAAATACCGGTTATAGTGCGGTTTCTGGCACAGCCCGCCGGCCGCGCCGACGACCGGAGCAGCGAGCGCGCTTCCCTGTGCGACACTAGATAACGGCGCTGACGGCGCGAGCAGCAAGCGGCACTCGCGTGGCAGTTGCGCCAGAGCCGAGTTGCTCGAAGAAGCGGGAAGAAGCGAAAGGCTTCAGTTGCCATAGCGACGGAGGGACGCACGCACGTGTCGTTCACGTGCGTGCGTCCTTCCGCTGCGTTGGAAACAAACAACCGCAGCGACAGACCAATCGCAGGTCGAGGAGAAGTGTTGCGCGCGCATGCCGGTCGCGGGCCGGCGGGCCGGCTGCTTCTATCCGCAAACACGGCGTCGGTTGTGATCGTCGTCGTAGACGGCGTTCATCTCATCGTTCCGCGTAAAAGCGCTATCCTTGACTGTGAATTTTCGTTGTGTGTCGCTATGATAACCCAGCATGTACTAGAAGGGAAGATCCACCTACTCGTGCGGCGATGTCGTGGCGGCGCTCTCAAGACGGCAGAAACGCCCGTGTCGTCGTGTTTGCTTACTTCGACTACAGTGGTGATTTCTAAGCATTTGTGTCCTCGAACATCGCCCGGATTTCTTATTTGGCGCATTTCATGCGTGCGCTCAAGTTCAAGGTATTACTGGCGCGTACCGTGTGAAGGATGCGAATTTTCACGCGTTTTCATCTCCGGAAAAAAGTGATTAGGGTTAGCAATCCTGAACGCTCTCAACGTCCGTCCGCAACCCGCGACGCCGTTAAAAGGCTGCGCCAGGCAAAAGCTGCTCATTTCTGTCAAAATGTGTAACACACTCGAGATAGAACTGTACTAGTCAGGTGAAATAAAGACTTTCCTCAAACTAAGCTTTATTTTTCATCTAACATAAAATAAATTCTTTTCACAAGTGTAAGTTGTCTCATGGCATGTATTTTGGCCAGAAAAATTGATGTTTTGGTTATAGTGCGGTACCGCTTATAGTGCGGATTTTCGCGACTCCCGCGACATACGTTATATGCGGTCTACACTGTACTTCCCAGTCAGCAATGTTCGCTTAAATCCCGGTCAAGCTAAACTGACCGGATCAGTGATGACCTCAACATTTATGTTGAGGTCATTACTGATCCGAGCACTACGATTACTAGGGGTGGGCTATCTTTTGGTGTTTAAAGGAAAATAGGAAATCAAACCGAAAATAGGGGTGGGTTACCTTTCGGGGGTGGGGCATCTCTTGTGATTTTACCGTACATTTAATTACGGGCCGATTCACGGCAAGCTTTTTTACCTGGCAGAAGTTTTATTTTTTTCTTCTGTTTTTCTTCTTGTCTGAGTTTATTTTCCTCTTTTAACTCTGGAGAGTCAGGCCACTACAAATGGCTGCGGGCCCGTACCCATAGACTTGTTATGCCTTGCAAATGGCTGATAGGCACATATATAAGTTGCGTTATTGCGAACATGTCATCGGCGCTTTTTCGCATTTTGCTTTAAAAGAATATTGTCGAGCATGAGACTATGCTTAGGTTAGAGCCCCAAACGAGAACTTTTCAGCACACCAGCGTTGTTCATCGTAGCCTTTTGATTCTGAGAGAAAAAACTAAAAAACCGGCAATCGCTCGTTCAAGCTAACAGTGTCATGCCGTGTACATGTATATGAGAAAAAAAGAAAGAAGGTAGGTGGAAGCAGGGGTTCAGTTTAAGAAGGGAGAAGGAAACGCATAGAGTCCTTGCAGAGCTCTTTTGCAGCTATGTCACCTACAAGAGCAATAGCTGTCAATTCGTTTGGCAGCGAGCTGCCAGAGCTGGACAGCTTGGATTGAGAATGACTGCTGTGGGCGCTCAGTCCTGGCAAACAGGCTCTGGTGTGTCGCTGCTCACCACATGGAAGCGGGGGACAATGGTAGAGACGAGAAACGCTGGCAAGCAGCCAAAGAGAGGCCGCATTTTGTCAAAGGCCCAGGTATTCCATCCTACAGCCTTTAAAAGTTGAGTAGTCTGCATGTCCCTTTACTGAGGGCTCCTCCCTGTACAACCTTCTGTTTCCTTCTTGCACAAAAGCTGAACAGCCAGCAGGCAGGCAGAAATTGGAGGAATATGGCATAAAGGAGGAAAAGGAAGATCAACCTGAACAATAAAAAAGTGAAAATGAGAAATGTAGACAGCATGGGTTTAACTTTCTCGTTATTTTTTCCTGTTGCCCAAGGATGCAACCAATGTAAATTTTTGGCACTTTATTTACATATAAAAATATTTAAATATTTTTAATATGTTTTAATGTGCCCTTAACTTTTTGGTTTTAACCAAGCCCACTTAGAGTGATAGCTGCTCTGACAACCAACTGCTTTCACAACGACCTAATTTTACAAATCTTCAAAGTTGGTTAGAGAGACTCTTTCTTCCTCGAGGGTTTTGTATGCAGAGTCGTTTCTGCCTGGGAGCGTTAAATTTGGTTATTTGTGTTCCCCCAAATTCTCTTTGTTTTTATTCAGGGCTACACGGCAAACAAGATGAAGATTGGATGCACCCAGCCGAGGCGAGTGGCAGCCATGAGCGTTGCTGCCCGTGTCTCCGAAGAACTGTCAGTAAAACTGGGCAACGAGGTACGCTGGTGGTGTCTTAAAGTCTTGTGTAAACACCACCCCCCGAGAGATTGCTTATCCCGGTTTTGGGGCTGAAGATCCATAACATAAAAATTCCGAAACATTGCCCGCCAGATCTTGATCGCACTATGTTTGTTTGGAATCGCATCAATTGCGCGACCTGCGGTATCGGTATGTGTGACAAGCACGTTCGCCGCGGGTTTCCTTGTGTTTATTGCACTGTGATATGCGAATCTGCTTCGTCCGTAATCTGCGGTATCCGTTCCTGTAACATGCAAATTCGTAACTCGCTCCTGGATTTTTTTTTAAATTTCTTTTGGCCCGCGATTTGCGCGCAAGATATTGGTTTCCGTGATGTGCGAGTTTGTAGTGGTTTCCTGTGTTTATCGCACCGTGAAACGTGGATCTCTTGATCTGCGGTACTTCTTCCCATGACATGCGAGTTCGTAGCGGGCTCCTGCGCTTTTGTCCGCGATCTGCGCTTGCCATTTTGGTTTCTGTGATACCAGAGTTTGTAGCGGGTTCTCGTGTGTTTATCGCAATGTTAGGCGCGAATGTGTCCTGTGTCTGCGTTCTGCAGTATCCGTTCCCGTGACAGGGGAGTTCGTAGAAAATTCCCACATACTTATCACACCATGGAACGCTAATTTACTGTGTCCACGATCTGTGGTATCAGTTCCCGTTTCACATACAGTCTAAGCTCGTTATACCAGACCTTGATTTTGACCAAGATTTCGGTCTGTTGTAAAAGGAGTATGTTGTATGCAGATATGAAATCGAGTCAACGGTATGTAGAGGAAAACCAACCGAACTTCACAAATCGGTATGTTATATCCAAATGTCTGTTGTAACCAGGTCTGTTGTAACGAGCTTAGACTGTAGTTTGTAATGGCAGCCCTGCCCCCCTTTATCACCAATTTTTGATAAAGTCTCACTGTCTCATGCCCAAACATTGCCTACCTCCTGTTTTTCACCATTTATCTGTTCATTTTGGGTCGGTGTTCTTTCGGGACTTTACCAAATTATGCATATGAGTCATATGCATGTTTAGAATTTTTCTATATACTAATAGCTACAGCACTCCTTAAACTTTGGACTTTTTCTTGATTGGACCAATACAGCCTCTGAAAGTATGCAAGGTGCAGTCCAAAAATTTTGGGACTAGTTTTCTAGCGTAAAAAGAGACGGCAGCATGGGAATGCTCGCTCAGCTGTCGAAGGCAGCAATCTTTATGTGTCATTATGTGAAAGGGCGCCATTCTGTGAACATTTGGAGCTTCGCTAGACAATTTTTCATGACCATGCACGCGAGAACAATTGCGATTTCAGCATTGACTGCAAACCAGAGCGAGAGCGAACATCAATTCTTTATCAAACTCGGCAGATTTGAAACAAAGATCACCGAAATGATTCGGCAGGCTTATGGCAAAAAAGCAGTGAGGCGCGAGGGGGGTTTTGAGTGGAACTCGTGCTTTAAGAATTGCGGAACATAGGTAACTGGAAGATGAAGAGAGGTCTTGGACGGTCCCCTTACCTCTCTTCTCTTTTTGTCATAAATAGATTTCATAACAAAACAACTAGAACTGCAATAGTACAAGGTTAGAAGTAAAGATGACAAAGAACCAAGGAGAAAGGTAGCAGCGATCCCATATTTCCATCAGATTTCGCACAATGTCAGCCTCTGCCAAGAAGTTGGGAATTGATGTGGTGTGCAGTGCAGGTTTCAAACTGAATTACCTGACACCTTTTTGGTCCAGCAAGGAAATGTGGCAAAAAGTCCATCGGGAGAGGCCGGATCCCTGTAAAGTAGGTGTAGTTTATGAGATTCCGCTTGCATGTGTCTTTAGGAACGTGGGACAAACCTCGAGAAGTGTCAACAATAGACCCTTGGGGCATAAAAGGAATGTATAGATGAATGTGACAAACTCAGGATTAGCAAGACATATGAAAGAATGCAAGAGTTACAGCGCTTTTTGGTCAGAGAGTTATACCCTGAGAATCAAAATATATGAAAGGGGTTCAAGACAATATTTCGGTCCTTTCTGTAGGACTCTTTACTTCTTCTCCGGTATTTGCATGTATTCTCCCAAAACCAGCAGATCCGCACCAGTGGCACCCTTGTCCTTCCCCACGACTGTCTTCAGGATACTGTTTAAGACTGTTATCCAGCACATCTCAATTACCCGGCCAGCCAGGCATTTACATGAATGCAGCTTGAACTCCGCCAGCCATGGTGGATCAAGAACGTGGCACAGAACGCGAAGACAGTCATAAAAAAGTCTAACCTGCTGCCACAACTCGCTTCTCAGCACCCTACAAATCCGTTTTGCGTGTCTCAGGGACGGTCTTAGTTGTCCAAACAGTGCCGTAATCTGGGGGGGGTATAAGACCTTTCCTTAGGTAAAAGGTGATGACTCTTGCCCGACAGATAGAAGAAACAATGTAGCTCGCCAAGGAATTCACCTGAGACATGGAATAAAGAACATTGAAGAAAGGTAGAAGAAATGTAGTAATGTAAAACTTGTTGTTGGCCTAGTTGGTTCATGATGCAGTCTAGAAGTTTTTGCACGACAAAAGGGACAATGAAAAGGGACTAGACACGGGCAAGCATACCTAGCAACTCATCGGTTCAACGCCAGCAACTCATGCGCAGGCATGCTGGGTTCAAGAAAATATTTTGGTCCTTTCTGTAGGACTCTTGACACATTCTCCGGTATTTGCATGTATTCTTCCAAAACTAGCAGACCCGCACCAGTGGCAGTCTTGTCCTTCCCCACGACTGTCTTCAGGATACTGTTTAAGACTTCTCCACCACATCTCAATTACCCGGCCAGCCAGGCGTTTACATGAACGCTGCTTGAACTCCGCCAGCCATGGTGGATCAAGAACACTCCCACTTCGGTTCAACGCCAGCGTGAGTTGCTGGCGTTGAACCGACGAGTTGCTAGGTGCGCTTGTCCATGTCTACTCCCTTGTGATTGTCCCTTGTTCCACACAAAAAGTTCTAGACTGCATCATGAACCAACTAGGCCAACAACAAATTTTAATATAAAAAGGGTCATGAGAGAAACAATAAGAATAAAATCCAAAGGGAATTGCATTTTCCAGGCATCAAAACAGCTTGGCAGCAAATCTAAAAAGTTCCTTGGAACCTAAAGATTGAATATTTTCTTGTGTGTGTTTTTTTATTTTGTAGTTTAGAGGCCACTTTAATGTCTCTCTGACCCATTGTTTTTGGTTTGTAGTCTGTTCTCAAACTAATTTGCACTTTTCTTTTTTTAAGGGGAGGAGGGGGGAGGCAATTGCATTTTTTTTTTTAGTGTACAAGGTTTGCCTTTGTGGCAGATGTTATAGTTTATAGGTCACGTAGTGGTGTGTTCGTGTTATGTTGTCTGTCCTTCAAATGTTAGCATTTTTTAGAGGGTTTTGTTATTGTGAAAAAAAGTGTTTCAAGGTCATAGCCATTATGAGAAAGGGTTGTACATTTTAGGTGAATGGGTCTACCGGTATCAAGGTCTATACATTAAAGGTATACTCTGGTCGTTTTTTGAGCTAGCTATACAAATTGCATTTTCTGATTACCTGGACCTTAGACTTCATGGTATGCTATTTACTGTCTCAAAATTCAAGATAGTCATTGAGAAAACCGTAAATGAAGATGATGCCGAAACCAACATTCAAATTTCCGTGCTCCCTCCAGTGGTGTGACGTCACAAATGGTACAGACTTTCAGGTTGCACAGGTAATCTTAAACAGAGTATGGCAAGCATTTTTTTTATGCTTCTCGGTGAATGAGCTTCCAAAAATTCTTTTCCCATGATCAAGCATCTTGTAATCATTTGGGAATGTGGTTTACTGCCCACTTTGCATCATTTCTGTCGTCGCATTTCAGTGTCGCCAGTAGGGGCTCTCAGTTTGAGAAACACGATGAGAATGAAGTTATGAAATTCAGTAACTTTGCGAATTTCATTTCTTTTCACACGATACTTGGAGAAACGGTACAGTCGTATATATCGGTACGTTGAGCCAATTTGGAGGCAAATCAGCTGCCATAAAAAAATACCTTTAAGAGGTCATTCGGTTGTCTTGTCCACGTAGGGCGTACCCGCAAAGAGGTCGGTGGCATCACTGTCGGGTGTATAATATGAGGAGCCAGAAAAATAAATGATTTTAGCTGCATTTGAGATGATCTCCTACTGCTGCCATTTTCTTCGACTTAGAAGTTTTCATGTTTCCGCACCAGTCTTAAATGTTACATTATGATTGATTATCACGAACTCCCTGTACACTCACTGTTATTTTGTTAGCCCATGTACGTCCTTGCAGTATCACACTTTGCTATAGGGAGGTTCCACTGTAGTTTGCTCAGTTCATCTCTGGCCTTAGTATTCCAGCAGATGGAACTGATCTCTCATTCGTTCACATATCTATCTTACTTTTGTTTGTTTTAACTAAATATTAGTTGTGTGCACGAGTATCATAGTGTCCTTAGCAATCTACTGCAGCAGCTTGTCACTTGAGCCTCTTTACTGTAGAAGCCTTGGCACAGTGACAAGTTTCTTACTTCAAGACACGAAAGAAACTGCCTGTCCATAATTGATATTAGCCATGGGCAAATAGTGTATCTTAGGTTCAAAGCGAATAATGGTTTTGACAGAATATTTCCAAATCGAATATCAGATAGTTTCTCCAAGCCTTTCACTCTTGTTGTACCATGCTTAAACAAAAACCCAGCTAAACTCATGAATGTTGTTCCCAAGCTTCCCTTTGTCCATTTATAAACTAATTGTGGTATAGCTGTATTTGTGAACAGTGACCTTAGGAAGCTTGATGCCTTAGGGATGGCAAGTAAACAACGGATTGGACATAATATTAAACCTAAGAGATGCCCAGCTATGCCTAATTGAGTGGATTTACAAATTTTGCTATTTACAAATATCTTTCAATTTTGAATTTGAAAAAAAAAGTATCACAAATATTTAATGCAGGTTGTCAGGGCTTCTCTGCCTAACATATACTACTCTTGCATAACGGTCACGGTTTAATTTTGAAAATTTTACTGGACTGTAGATATTAACATTTACAAAATTTTACATCGGAGCTGTCAAGGGCTAGTTTCCCAAGTATCGTGTCTGCGGGCAAACAAATGTCAACACAAAAAACTCTGGACAGCTACCACCATCTACGAGTGACGGCGGCAACCTTTCTAGCCTTTCCACTCTGGTTTTTACCAGAGTAGAAAGGCTGAATTTCTCTAGGAGTTTTCCTACAAGTTGCCTCAAGGACGACGCCTAGAGGACGACGTCCTCTAGGTGTCGTCCTCGAAGTCGTTTTACAAGTTGTCCTTGAAGTCATCCTAGGCATTGTGCTTGAGGTCGTCCGAGAGGTTGTCCTCAAGGTCATTATGGAAGCCATCCTTGAGGTCATCCTAGACGTCGTCCTCGAGGTCGTTCTAGAAGTTGTTCTTGAGGTCGTCCTAGACGTTGTCCTCGAGGTCATCCTAGAAGTCGTCCTTGAAGTTGTTGTAGACGTCGTCCTTGAGGTCGTCCTAGACGTTGTCCTTGAGGTCATCCTTAAAGTCGTCCTTGAGGTCGTCCTTTAGGCAACGTCCTTGAGGTCGTCCAAGAAGTCGTCTTTCACGTCGTCCTATACGTCATCCTCTAGGTATCGTCCTAGATGTCGTAAAGATAACAGCTTCGCTGGTCATCCATCTTCACTTGAAGTAGAAGTGCTCTACATTTTTGTTTCTTTTTCAATACACCAGGCGCGCACGTGCATTATTACGATTTGAAAGTGTGAAAGTGTGCTTTCCTCCCGAGCACACAATTGCGATATTCATACTTTTCCAACTGTTGGTCACGGCTGGTTACCCCGTTCGGTGTGCTTCTTACCAAGCACCGGTGCACTGCAGAAAAGCAGCACCTGTGGAGCTAGCTTCCAGGGGGTTGCTTCTCTGCAGTCCACCCAACACGTTAAGAAGTGTGCTAAACGGGGCCAACCCACTGCGATCAACGCTTAAAAAAATATTAATATAGTACCTCATCTTGAAGCGAATATCGAATAGTTTATTATTCAAAACTACTATTTGAAATTTCGAGTATTTGCGCAACACTAATCGATATGCCCGGAGTCTTTACCCGTCGCCGTGTTTTGTCTTCAGGTGGGCTACAGTATACGATTTGAGGACTGCACCTCGGAGAGGACGGTGCTCAAGTACATGACGGACGGAATGCTGCTGAGGGAGTTTCTTTCAGAACCGGACCTGGCAAGCTACAGGTAAGGGAACGCGGTCATATTCCGTGGGAAGACATGGCCACTGCCCAGTGGGGTGTCCAAAGCCGCGCAAACACTAAACGAACACGTTTTACAGCCACGGCCATTATTGGCAAGGTTTCGCTCTAAATTTGGCGGACAATCACAGTTTCATGTGACACCGTGACATCACGGAAAGTTTTTGTCCATTAATTTTAGTGCAGAAATTTTCCCACCTCATATTAGACAAAGAATGTCCCGGTGAAATCCGGCAGGAAAGTTGTGGCATCATGTGACGGGGTGATCCCTACACTTTTGTCAAATGTTGAGTGGTGGTGAATGATTGTGTCTAGTTTGTGTGCAGCAGAGTGTGTGCAGCACCTCGACCGTGACCTCATTTTTTGTTCGGCACAGACGAGGAACCGGCATTCTTAACGTGACAGTGTGAGGAGTTTGTGTTGTAGAAAAACTGGCTTTGGCGTCGGTGTTGTCGTGAAGGGAAAATCCTGTTTGGTCGATAGGGTCATGACGTCACAGCCCCATAACCTCGTGTGGGAATTTCAAACATCCCACAACGCTCACGCTCACGTGACATCACGCGTAAAATAAAGTGATAGAAAACATGATATGTAATGTGAATTAAAGGTTGCCCCATGTCTCAAATGATTTAACTTTATAAAGTAATGCATTTATTTGCCTTAAAGGGGCACTGACACCCCAAAGGTCAGATTTTTTTTATTGTCTAAAACGATGCACATAATAGTCATAGACACAAGAAAAAAAAAACGGATCACAAAACAAAACAAAAATTTTCCCACGTGCGCATGCGCCTTTTTATTTTTGGCGTTTTCCTCCCGCTTTTCACCTCCTCGCTTCTTTTGATTCGTGACGTCAAGAATCATGAAATTTAGAAGCTTTGTAGGTGAGATTTCTATAACATTTAATAACGGCAATCGTAAAACGTTTTTTAATGCAGTTGCAAATGCACTAGAGCCCTTTTTGAAATACCAAAAATCGGAGTGTGTTCCAATGTCGCCTTCTGGATTTTTATCCTCCCTCGAAAAACATGGCGGCGCTCGACGCATGTAGCAGAGGGTGATCGGTGAATCGGGGGATCGGACAAAGTATTTTATTTACCCATAAACTTCTCAGACTTCGAAAAGGAAATCTTCAAACAGTCAAAACAACTGGGTTTGGTGTCTGTATCGTAGTTTCGGTTGTGCCTCTGCCGGGGCACCGTCATTTGCTCGAAGCGATAGGCAGCACGGCACTCACGGAGGAAATCGGTTTCCTGGTACGGTGGTTTCCGCGACGCCGGCGCCCTTCTCCCGCTCTCACCTCCTCGCTTTCGGAGCGGAGGCGTGAAAGAAACTCGGCTCTCAGGAGCCCTCAAATTTTGACGTCACTCCACTGGCGCGGATCGCACGGGAACTTCAAACTTGGCATTTGGAAATCTTTTTTTTTTTACTTCAAAAATACTAAATCCCTCAGTTTTGAATTTTGAGGGTAATGTCCAGGCATCATTTTCAATCCTTTCAAACAATAAAAATAAATATGATTTTGATGTGTCAGTGCCTCTTTAAAGAAAATTTTTAAGGATTTTAGGGGGATTCAAACTTCTGACGCTTCGGTTACGATCCAGGTATGCTACTGACTAGGCTACGTCCGCCGCACTTCCTGCTCACTGGCAGTAAGAGCATGACAAGTGAATGGGGTCGATTATGCTATCGCGTTCCACCTTAAGGGTGAAGCTTTTTTGTCATCTGACATCCAGTCAGAGAAAGTGTACATTCTAACAAGTGTGTGGCATTGATTCTTGCAGAAGTGGAGTAGATTAAGCTGACTACAGCTTTCAGCCTCAGGTCTAATGGTGCATTCCACTGGTCGTTTAGAGTGCACCAGGATGAGTGGACCCGGTCCGAGATGGAGGATGCAATACGAATGGAGTCGCTCCGCCTTTGTATCCCTAGTGGAATATAACCAGTCCTCTGGGATCGGCGGATGTCTTCCCGTCATTCACCTTTTTGGGAATTCCCTTCCTGTGGTCCCAGACGTTGAAGCACATGTCTTAGCAATCGTGGCGCTAACAACACTGCTCAGCGCACGAGCCAAGTTAATCATGATGTGAAAGATGCGCGTCGATAAGCGATGTGCATCAGCGTAGCCCATTTGCCTCTTCATCAGAATACTCATAAATGGTGTCCAAATATGTCTCGATTTTCGGCTCGTTCTGCAGAGGTCCGAAAAAGCAGTCAAATTCACGCGGGACATACAAGTAGTCCTCATCGTCGCTGCCTCTTGAGCCGCTGCTGCTGGAGGAGCTGCTCAAGCAACCTGACAACAAGCCGTCACCAAGCAGCAGCAGCAGTAAAGTGGGCGGCACTTCACGAGTGGCCATTACGAATACTTCCGAGGCGAGATGCATGGCGAGAAAGGAGGTCACGGATCCGCCGAAATCAGTGGAGCGACTTTTTTTGGATTCAGATTGAGATCTGGAAAGGGAGCTGATTTAAAACAACGACTGGAACACGTCCGTCTCGATCTTGATCGCCCAGTCAAATTGCGTGCTCCAGAAAAGTCGATCCCAGTGCGTTTCAAAACGACCAGTGGAATTGACCATAACTCTGTTTGTAAATGCTTGTTCAAAGCATTTACAAACAAAATATGCTATACTTCGTTTCACCTTAAGTTCAGACACAGCCGACGCAACGAGCTGATGGAACCAATCCGACAGCGTCAGAAGCGCACCGTCACGGCATTTGTCATGTTTCTGTACATGTTCTGTCATCGCTGAACCAATCATAAACAGAAAAGGCTTAGTGACTTCCACTTTTGACGCTGCTTGAATGGGCCCCATTAGCTCGTAGCATCGGGACTTAAGCTGAAGTGAAGAATAAAAATGTTCTTCAAAGTCCCACTTACCCAGAAATTTATACTTGAAAACAGGTCACACTTTTTCAGTCAGTTTTTTTGCATGGCCAACCAAGATTTAAGACAGATACTGATAAGGACTCTATTGTTCTAAATGACAGGTGACAATGCAGGAAAAACTGGAAAACTAAAGGCTTAATGTGGCGTACTTGTGTCAGAAATAAAGTACAGTAAACTTACATTGCGGGCATCAATGTCGGCAGAACAGTAGGATTCAGTGCCGGCGAAAGACTGGTTCTGTGTAGCGTGCTATGGCTGCTCTTATACAGGCCTTGTGTTCAGGAACATTCGAAACCAGAAAGTGCTATAACCATCAAGAATGGTCTGAAACTTTCCAGCAGTAGAGTGAAAAAAAAGCAAGTCTGATGGGGCTTTAACCCAGTACTTCTGCATTGCAGTCGCATGTGCTGCCAAATCCGCTACGTCTGTTGCTATACGACTGGATTGTGTTACTAAGTTAGTAGTCTGCAGTGTTTTTATGTTGTATGTTTCTGTTTTCAATGTTGGTCTTTTCCCTCATAGTGTCATCATAGTAGACGAGGCCCACGAGAGGACACTGCATACGGACATTCTGTTTGGCCTGGTCAAAGACATTGCGAGGTTTCGGCCAGATCTCAAGCTGCTCATCTCCTCTGCCACTCTGGATGCTGAGAAGTTCTCGGAGGTGAGGGGGCTTTGGTCTTCAAGCGGTCTGTAAGAACACCATATTTCAACATCAAAGTTGGATGTGTATAGGAACTGCCGCTTGCGTCCCAAGCGACTTCTGGTTGCACCGTCTTTGCAAGCCTGTTGAGCTTGCTTATGTCACCAGTGCTAGAAAGCATACTTGCTACATGGACAACAAAGTTGGAGATTTAACGAGGGCCTTTGGCTGTACAATGTTACATCTTGGAGGAGGCAAGCTGGTTTGCAAGACCACTCGAAACATTTGAACAGATCTCTCACTTCTTCGTTCTTTTGGCATTCACCTAGAGAATCGGTGGCTAAACATTTATTCTACATTTCAAGCAGCGGTGTTAAAGTGGCCTTTGTTCATTTTTTTATGAACCATAAGTTCTCTGGGATGTCAAAGACTTGAGCAGTGCCTTGTGGCCTTGTTAAATTAGCCTGAGTCTGGGATAGGTTTAATGTAAGAACACAGCAAAAGAGGTCAAGTTTTTGTCCCTAGTGACGCCTGCCTTGGTTTCAGTTATACCCATTTAAAATTGTAAATTTATGCCAGGTCACCTCAATAAAATGTTTGTCTTTGACCTAAAAAGGGGTAAGGATGTTTCCAACATAAACTATATCATATAGGTTGTTAAACATTCTCCTCATTGAATATTCATACTGAGAGCCCTTTATTCGAGTGAACAAAATAATTTGATTTATTACAGTAGGCTCACAATAATTCAAACTCAGATATTTCATACTTCTGGTTAATTCAAACAAATTTCAAAATTTTGGTTGACTTGCTGTGTTTTTAATGTATTCATAAGCCGCTTAATTCGAACGGCGTTTTCGTGTAATAGATGCTTTTTGTTTTCGCGGCCCCTTTGAGTTTGGTTCTTTCTGAGCAACGATGCACTGCAGAGAGGCAACAGCCGCGAAGCTTGCTTCCGCGGGTTTTGCTTCTCTGCAGTACACCAGTGCTCTGTAAGAAGCCAACTCAACGGGACTCAAGCAGGGCACACATGAGCTATGAAAACGGGCACCATGTGGAAATTTCCACAGCAACTTGCACGGACACTGCGACATGGCGGCATGGCATAGGTCCACATCCCATTGTCCACGCAAGTTGCTATGAAAACTGCCACACAGTGCCCGGTTTTATGGCTCATGCATCCCCTGCTTAATAGCTCACATTAGACAACTTCTTGGCTCGATGAACAAACTTAATTTTGTTTCGAGTTGTCATATACTGTCTAAACAGTCCATGATAAACAACATTTTTGAGGGATAAATAAACTTATGCCATAAATTTCACAAATGTTTCATGTGTGGCATACCTGCTTATGGTCAGTAGGCTTACATAGAGGAAATCATCAAATATCTGCTTTGTATGTGTAGCCATTCGTATGGTAAATCATAATTTTATCTTGCATCATATTTAGATGAATTTCTGATTATTCAAACTTATGATGATTCAAACAAAATTTATGGCTTCCTGGAGTTTGAAATATTGAGTCTACTGTACGTGGGCATTTATCAGAGCACAATGTATACTGTGTTTTGAAAAAGCAAACAGCTTTGACAAGTTGCATCATCATTAATATTATTTATTTAACCTTGAAGGCCCTTACGGACATTACACAAGGGGGTGCAAACTGGAGAATTTTGTTATATAAAACAAGGAAACAGGGAGAATAAATACTCACACACTTTTGGTGAAAATTTATGGCATAAGCATAAGTTGCTTATGCAATAACTTCATTACTGATATTTCTTTTATATTAAAATTTTAAGATACCGTTTGAGGTTGTTTTTTTTTTTAATAAAAGTCAGCAAATGAAACATAAGATGTTGATGAAATGTGAATTTCAAACTGTTTTGAAACCTGGTTATGATTGTTGGTCTGGTGAATGCTGTAACTGCTTCAGGAATGATTTTTGTGGCATGACAAAGCTACCTAAGATTCCAAATGGGAAATCAATAGATCATTCTTAATTCAAAGATTGTTCAAAATAAAATTGTTTCCTTTGTTGGTATAGGTAAGCTTACCTGATTTCTGTAAGCAGCCTTTCTTTCGTGGAAGTATTGGCACCAGCCCTCCATGTTGTAATTTTTTATACTTCAAGAAAACAACTGAGCACATTATGGAAGTCTTTATTCAGTTCTGGAAATTATATCTCGCTTAAGTTGACACTATGCTGTATCGTGAGAGGATCATGTGACACTTGCATGCAACTTGGTGCCATGTGATTATGGAATTTGAACCCTGAACTTTACTACGAACTGCAGTGTTGTGCAAATATTAAAATTTTCAAATATAGTAGTTTTGTATAATAGGCTATTTGATATTCGCTTTGAGGTGAACTGCAATATTCATATTTCTCGGGGCGTTGATTTTGGCAGGTTGGCCCTGTCGAGCGCACTTCTTACCGAGCGGCGGTGCACTGCGAGGAAGCAACACCCGCGGAGCTCACTTCTTGATGGTGCTGCTTCTCCCCAGTGCACCGGTGCATGGTAAAAAGCGAAATCAAGGGGGCTAAAACGCTACAATCAACACTTTGAAAAGTACAAGTATTGCAGTTGCGTGCTTAGGAGAAAAGTACACTTTCAAAGCGGGATGGTGCACGCGCTTGTCTCGTGTATTTATAAAGGAACGGAGACTTTGAGAATTTTGATATTGCCGCCCGCAGAGGCGAGAAGGCAACGCTCGGTCACGGTCTTCTAGAAGATTCCCGGTCATTCTCGCAGCAGACGTAACTTTCCTTCTGCTTTGTTATTCTCGAAAGTGCCAGTTCATCCGCGCCCCGAGCGCGCGACGCTCGAACCTTCTTTGCCGAACTTTCGAGATAGTGACGCAGGGTAGATAAGCGGCTCCCGCGACCTTGTCGAGTCAGTCCCAGTTTCGCTAGCGCTCTGTGTGCCGCCGAACCGCCGCCCGCTTTTCTGCTACCTCGACGCTCTTTCGTTATTTATTTTTGGTTGGCACAAGTTCGCCCATTAAATTTTTATTTTCAGTTCACTGTTCGGCTTTTTGTCACCTTCATTCGTGACATTTCTGGTGGAGGTGCGGGGTAACGCATGTCCCTGCACCGTACTCCTCCGAGGGCCCGCAGTGCAAGTCCAACACCAAGCCCACGAAGACCCAACGAAGACACAAGCAAGACCCGATAAAGTCGCCGCAACCAAGAGCTAACCCGGAACTCGGATTTCTGCCAACCAAGATCAAGCAACCAACGAGGTCAACGATGGACCCCCAGACGTCGCAGACCTCGACCACCGCCGGACCACGGCATACCACCTGCAGATTGACGGGCTGACGGAGAGACTAAACAAGACCATCGCCGACATGATCTCGATGTATGTGGACGTGGAACACAAGACGTGGGATGAGGTGGTGCCCTACATCACGTTTGCGTACAACACGGCGGTTCAAGGAACCACTGGGATTACACCTTTTCAGTTGGTGCACGGCTGAAAGGTGACGACGATGCTCGACGCCGTGATGCCTCACGGCACCGACGAACAACGGCACCGACGAACAACGGCACCGACGAACGACGGCACCGACGAACGACGGCACCGACGAACGACGGCACCGACGAACGACGGCACCGACGAACGACGGCACCGACGAACGACGGCACCGACGAAGGACGGCACCGACGAACGACGGCACCGACGAACGACGGCACCGACGAACGACGGCACCGACGAACGACGGCACCGACGAACGACGGCACCGACGAACGACGGCACCGACGAACGACGGCACCGACGAACTACGGCACCGACGAACTACGGCACCGACGAACGACAGCACCGACGAACGACAGCACCGACAAATGATGGCACCGACGATGCTTAGTTGGTCACCCAACGAGCAGAAGTACGCCAGCTAGCCCGCCTTCGCATAAAAGACCAGCAACGTGTCAAAGCTGGCCGGTACAACTTTCGTTGCCGAGACGGGGAGTTCCAGCCCGGAGACAGGGTGTGGGTGTGGATGCCCATTCGTCACCGCGGCCTTAGTGAGAAACTGTTAAAACGCTGCTTTGGACCCTACAAGGTTATCCGCCGCCTTGGGGACTTGAACTACGAGGTGCTCCCCGACGGAACTTGCCCATCAGGACGCCGCCAGCCACGATCCGAGGTCGTCCACGTAGTTCGACTCAAGCCGTTCTACGCGCGTTAGGATTGTGACACTGCATGTTTGTTTTGTTTCGCCGCAATTGTTTTAGCCATTTCCGTTTTCCTTTCGTTTCGCATCGGGGCGATGCACTTTTAAAGGGGGGGGATAATGCCGCCCGCAGAGGCGAGAAGGCAACGCTCGGTCACGGTCTTCTAGAAGATTCCCGGTCATTCTCGCAGCAGACGTAACTTTCCTTCTGCTTTGTTATTCTCGAAAGTGCCAGTTCATCCGCGCCCCGAGCGCGCGACGCTCGAACCTTCTTTGCCGAACTTTCGAGATAGTGACGCAGGGTAGATAAGCGGCTCCCGCGACCTTGTCGAGTCAGTCCCAGTTTCGCTAGCGCTCTGTGTGCCGCCGAACCGCCGCCCGCTTTTCTGCTACCTCGACGCTCTTTCGTTATTTATTTTTGGTTGGCACAAGTTCGCCCATTAAATTTTTATTTTCAGTTCACTGTTCGGCTTTTTGTCACCTTCATTCGTGACAATATCTACATTGCGGTAAAATTTCCAAATTGTGCTGGCTATTACACATGAGTTAGGCAGAAATCCCCTGACATCCTGTATTAATAATTTGTGAGTGGAGAAAAAGTATTTGTATACAGCAAGAATATTTATAAATCCCCTCGATTAGGTATAGCTGGGCATTTCATAAGTTTAATTTTATGTTATGTGTTATTTACTCGAGTACTGATTGTAGGCTTTGAACTTTTGTATGCCAATGTCGATAAATGCAGTTAGGCTAAAATTAATCTAGCTTAGAAATAAACAACTGAAAGCTTTGGGACAACCTTCATGAGTTGAGCTGGGTTTTTGTTTAAGCATGGGGCAGTAGTGAAAGGTTTAGAAAAAATATTTAATACTCGATTCGAAAATATTCGGCCAAAACCACTATTCGCTTCAAATTCGCTTCGAACTCAAAATATACTATTCCCACTGGCTACTATGAAGTTAAACACTATGTCTGTGCTGTACTGTTTACTGAAAATGCAAAAGACTGAATTTTCTGAACTAGAATTGGTGCATGCACTCGCATTTACAGAATTCACCCCCTTTGTGTGCTTTTGCAGTTCTTTGACGACGCACCCATTTTCAAGATTCCCGGTAGGAGGTTTCCTGTGGACATATACTACACCAAGGTTTGTATGTTTTCGAGCTCTCTATATGTTTTGTTGGTGGTACGCAGGCTCATTGCTACAGGTCTTGATAGTAGTAAATGCTATTTCACTTATGCTTTAAGCTGAACCTGCTGGATACGGATGCTGTTACAACAGCATCATATTCCATGACATTGTTACAACATAAGGATGTTGTGAATCTGCTGAGGTTCAAGTGTGGCCAGGTTTGACTTTTTTTAGCATTTGATGCAAAGTTCCACAAAAGTGCAACTAAAGTTAGATGATTCTATGCATGCACATATATTAAAAACGAGCAAATGCTGCCTGGCCAAGGAGGGGGTGCAATGTTTATAAACTGGTAAAAGTTTGTAAATTTTTTTTATGTTTAGATGACACTGCTTAAAAAATCAGCTCGTTGAATTTCGTCAAAAGTATGAACGTCCGCCGAACCTGTCGAGCCTCGGGTACGATGAAAGTTTGAGGCGTTCCCGGTCACAACTAACATTGCCACGTAATTGACGAGCTTCGAGGCAAACGTGCAAACTCGCTCTTCTGCAAGGCAGGTGTAGCAAAGACTTCTGTATGCGTGCGTCGACTTCCGTAGAGAGATCCTCTACAGCAATGCTAGCATTCTGTCGTGGCACTGCACCGCGTGGCGGAGACCTGGACGAAGCAGTCTTTCCCGACAGGCACCCGAGGCGGACTACCTGGATGCCTGCGTGGTCACGGTGTTGCAGATCCACATCACCCAGCCCCTTGGGGACATCCTGGTCTTTCTCACCGGCCAGGAGGAGATTGAGTCATGCCAGGAGCTGCTCATGGTCAGCACTGCCTTTGCCGACAGCGCTACAGTTCAGAGAGTTGCACTCAGTGTGTTGCTGCGGTCGTGCAACACACTGAGTGCAACTCTTGCACTCAGTGTGTTGCGGCTCAGAGCATTGGCTCACCGCAGCTCGGAGCTTGTGAAACGAAAGCTTGTGCTGTGGAACCCAGGGATCCTGGGTTCAATCCCCACCCCTGTCTGTTTTGGTCTAGATGAGTGTCATACTAGGGCCAGCGTGTGGTCCGGTATCACTGCTGCGTGATGCTTTTCAAAATCCCAGGCTAGCAATGGCACTGCACTCACTAAATTTCTCGTCTACAGTGCGTAACATTAGGCTCGTTCGATTTACTTGCACCAGCTTGCCCCAATGCAGAATGTGTAGTGCCGTGAAGAAAAGTGTGAGGCATTGTACTTCCGGTATGTGTTTTAGGATAAACTACACCTGCAAATCAAATATGGCAGTGTGCACCAAGTGCAGCTGGCGTTAGAGGTATGTGTAGGTCAAACATACAAATGTCATAAACCCTGGTGTGGTAAAGACTCATTAATTCAAACTCCAGGAAGGTACAAATTTTGTTTGCATTATGAGAAGTTTGAATTATCAGAAATTCATCTGAATACGATGCAAGATAAAATTATGATTTGCCATATGAATGGCTAGGCAAACAAAGCAGATATTTGATGATTTCGTCTACATAGGCCTACTGATCATAAGCAGGAATGTCACACAAGAAGCATTTGTTAAATGTATGACATAAGTTTATTACAGCGAAGCTGTTTATGGCTAGTATTCTGTGGATTTTTCGTGTGCAGTGACTAAAAACTATACGCTCGCACCGCTGCATGTGCATGCCTTCCCCATATAAAAGATTCAAAGTAAATAACCAAAAAAAAGCACTGACGAACGCACATACAAGATGCCATTTGTTTTAGGCTTCTGCTTTAAAACACTTACTGGTGTAGACGCCGGCACGTGCAGTCCTGAAAGACACGAAGCTGCTGCTGCTTCGGGTTCTGAAAGACACAAAGCAGCTCCTCGTTTTTAGATAGGTATAGAAGTAGAGGAAGAAGGTTTTAATCCAGTTTATCAATAAGGAAGAAGAGGGCTGCAATCCAGGTTGTAAATACTGATAGTAATGAAGGAAGAAGAAGGCTTCAATATAGTTGGTAATCCAGCGGTTGTATATTTCTGTGTTTATTAGTGTTCAGCTGGAACCACCGAAAAAAATGATTGCATATGCACCACAATTGCGAGTAAGTGATGTTTTTGAGGAGCATCAGCGGGCGACAAGAACGCCAAGCTTGATGCAATCACTCACAATCCTGGAACTTTAAAGTCACGTAAATAATCGCCCCTTCACAGAGAAGAAAAAACCGAAACTCAAAGTAGAGTTTCTCTGTAGCATGCTAGATGGCGCCACGTGTCTAAGAAGGCGCTGAACGCGTTGGGTTTGAAATCCACTGATTAAATTGATTGATTTGAAAAGAAGCAGTGAGGAAATAGTTGAACACTTCACTTATACGAATAAATCTTTCACCATGCCGAGATTCCTTACTGGCACCACGTTTGTCGGCTGATGACACAATTTCGACTGGCCTGCAATACATGTGCCTATGTCTTCCGCGACATGTGATTGATCAACCGCTACAGCCTTTGATCCAGCTCTTCGCATCATCTAGTTCCTACACCAGGGGCGTGTGGCTATAGGTTGCCATAGCAACTCATGACTAGTTACAGGCAATCTCTGCTGACATTGTTTCTTCAGATGCAAGTGCCTAAATCAGGCATTGAAAAGTGAACGGGTGATATCTCAATGTTGGTTCTTGTGTCGTAAGTTCCCTCATCATGAGCAGTCACTAGCAGCTGCTATGCACTCAATCATGCACCAACACAAATGTGTGGACTAGCTTTTGGTTTACTGAATCAATCTGGTTTAGTAAGACAGGGTTCAAATTCAATGCAGTTACATTTTCTCTAAAGTTGTTTCTTTCTTCAGGCTGCTTGGTTATGTGTTTTTTTATGCTTGCACGCTCGTGACCAAGGTGTGCCTTCTACCTTCAGGAGCGCACACGGAAACTGGGGTCCAAGGTTCGTGAGCTCCTCATCTTGCCCATCTACTCCAATCTGCCCTCGGAATTGCAAGCCAAGATCTTTGAGCCAACGCCTCCTGGTGCCAGAAAGGTAGCAAACATCCAATTCTTTATGCTTGTGTTGATCTCGTGCAACTTTTTAACTGAAGCTTCTTCTGATTTTCAAGCTGTAGAGTCCTCAGGTCTGCTGGAGTGGCTGAAAATATTGGACCAGCTTCTCAGGAGCATTCGATTCAATATGCCATTTCTGACAAATCTTTTATCCTGCATGCAGCTTCATATTTGTCTTTGTTGTTTGGATGGTTATCGTAGAAATCGTTAGGATATACTTATGTGATGAAGCATGGTGTAAGGCGCCAAAAACAATGGACGCAGGAAAGAAAACACACTCACAGGCGCCACTCACAACTAAATTTGAAAAGTGCAGAAAGTAAATAAATACATATCTCATCACCTTCCTCACATCCATGCATGCGCCTGGCCGTGAGTTGCACGGTTTATCAACCATTCACAGAAACTTCTAAAAAAAAAAAAAAATGCACTCATCTCCACGTGGTGAATGATGTTGATTGGGGCGAATCTTTGGTGGTGCTGATGGTAGTGATTTTATTGTTCATAGATAGTGCTGATGGTGCTGATTTCTTTTTTAATTGCTCATAGGTAGTGCTGAGTTCCGGGTTGCATTTCGACTTCATCATTACTTCTTTATGGTCGGTGAAATGCATAGCCAGTGGTTCTTCTTGCGGATCAACTTGGATCCGCTAGAAGCTGTGGGAACACATCTTCACCGCTTAAGTCAACGGTCCATGTCAGAAAAAGAAGGCGGGTTATGGATTGTGGTTATATACACAGTTGAGCATTTGACCGCAGCGCTCTCTCGTCTATAAACGTTGAGCCAATGCATGCAAAGTTTAACGCGATTATATACGCATTTGACCGCAGTGCCCTCTCCTGTATAGACGTTGAGCGGCTACATGCAACGTTGGAGTGTAGCGTAGTGGTTAAGACGTCTACCTCGTAAGCGTGCGTCCCGGGATTGGCCCACTTTTTTTAAAAGTGGGCCGATCCCAGAGGCAGTGCAATCGATGTGAGCGCGGACGCCGGACAAGGAAGGTGACGTGAGGAAGGTGACGAGATATGTATTTATTTCTTTTCTGCTTTTTTCAAATATAATTGTGAGTGGTGCCTGTGTGTGTGTCTTCTTTCTTGTGTCCATTGCTTTTTGTGCCTTGCAGCATGCTTCATAAAGTTCACCAACTAGCCCAACTGCAAGGTCTACTTACGGGATATGACACTTGACAGTGTGGAGCGAGATTACCATTTTAATTACTTATGACTTGAGCGTTTAGTTTTTTTATATTAGTAATTTTGGGTTCATATTTCATGTCTCGAAAAAAATGAAAGCCGTTTACAACTCCCTGTAACGCCGGATAAGAGCGCAGCTCTTGAGGAGGAGGATGGGAGGTTACTGAGGGATAGGATGGTAGGGTACTGAGGGATAGGTGACTCCCTGAGGTCACGTGACCTCGGCGGGGGGGAGGGGTCACGTGACATCAGAAGGTCACGTGACCTGAGGGTGGTCACGTGACCTGAGGGGGGTCACGTGACCTCAGCGGAGGGTAACGCGACCTCAGGGGGGTAACCCTCATGACCCTCATGAGGGTAACCCTCGTGACCATCGTGAGGGTAACCCTCGAGAGGGTAACTCTCATAACCCTAGTAACCCTTGTGAGGGTAACCCTCCTGACCCTCGTGAGGGTAACTCTCATAACCCTCGTGACCCTCGTGAGGGTAACCATCGTAACCCTCATGAGAGTAACCCTCGTTACCCTCGTGTGGGTTACGAGGGTTACTCTCGCTTGAGGGTACTGTCATAACCCTAGTAACCCTTGGAAGGGTAACCCTCGTGACCCTCGTGAGGGTAACTCATAACCCTCGTGACCCTCGTGAGGGTAACCTCATAACCCTTGTGACCCTCGTGAGGGTAACCCTCGTGACCCTCGTGAGGGTAACCCTCGTAACTCTCGTAAGAATAACCCTCGTAACCCTCGTGAGAATAACCCTCGTAACCCTCGTGAGGGTTACGAGGGTTGCTACCCTCACGAGGATCACGAGGGTTACCCTCGTAACCCTCGTGAGAGTAACCCTCGTAACCCTCGTGAGAGTAACCCTCGTAACCCTTGTAACCCTCACGAGGGTTACGCGCGGTTACGCCGACGGCGACGCCGACGCCGCTCAAGCCGGAAACGGGCGCCTAAGAGCTGCGCTCTAAAAACTGGCAAGATTGGGAAGGCTCCCTGGCCTTTTAAAAGTAATCGAGCAGTGTTGCCTCAGACTTAAAGCATGTGTTGTTGAAATTTCTCGCCTTCCTCCACTCTGTTTTGTGCTGTAATGCAGGACCGTAAGAACCACTCGGTGAATGGGGCTTTGTGCAGGTTGTCTTGGCAACCAACATAGCAGAAACCTCCCTGACCATTGATGGCATCATTTATGTCATTGACCCTGGGTTCTGCAAGCAGAACAGCTACAATGCACGGACTGGAATGGACTCCCTTGTGGTCACCCCCATTTCTAAGGTAGGTCGGCTATTGTGTGTGGTCACACTTGAAAAGGGGCATTATTCGCAGCTGAAGAAGTCAGTATGCTGCAGAATGCCAGAACTCACAAAATAATGCAAACAAAATTCTGCAGTAGGACCTCATTGATAGGCTTTTCAGTGGACTACAGTATAGACCACTTACAACGTAACCGCTTATAGTGCAGGACCGGGTATAACGCGGTTTTTTTAAACCACTGGTTCGCCTCCCATAGAACTCCATGTAATTACATACCGCTTAAAATGCAGGCGCGCGAAGGGAAATATTGGTTATAGTGCGGTTTCTCGCACAGCCCGCCGATCGCGCCGACGACCGGAGCAGCGAGCACGCTTCCCTGTGCGACACTAGATAACGGCGCTGACGGCGCGAGCCGCAAGCAGAACTTGCGGGGCACGGAGGTTGCACGAAGGAGAGGGGAGAAGTGAAGAGAGAGGCTTCAGTTGCCATAGCGACAGAGGGACGCACGCACGTGTCGTTCACGTGCGTGCGTCCCTCCGCTGCGTTGGAAACAAACCGCAACGACAGACCAATCGCAGGTCCAGAAGTGTTCGCGCGCGTTGCATGCCGGCACACTATTGGCTCTCTCCTTCCCCCCCAACCTCTATTACAACGCTTCTCCTCCTCCGGTCGCGGGCCGGCTGCTTCTATCCGCAAACATGGCGTCGGTTGTGATTGTCGTCGTAGGCGGCGTTCATCTCATCATTCTTCGTAAAAGCGCTATCCTTGACTGTGAATTTTCGTTGTGTGTCGCTATGATAACCCAGCACATACTAGACGGGAAGATCCACCTACTCGTGCGGCGATGTCGTGGCGGCACTCTCAAGACTGCAGAAACGCCCGTGTCGTCGTGTTTGTTTACTTCGACTACAGTGGTGATTTCTAAGCATTTGTGTCCTCGAACATCGCCCGGTTTTCTTATTTGGCGCATTTCATGTATGTTCTCAAGTTCAAGGTATTACTGGCGCGTACCGTATGAAGGATGCGAATTTTCACGCGTTTTCATCTTCGGAGAAAAGTGATTAGGGTTACTAATCCTGAACGCTCGCAACGTCCGTCCGCGACGCCGTTAAAAGGCTGCACCAGGCAAAAGCCTCTCATTTCTTTCAAAATGTGTGACACACTTGAGAGAGAAGTGTACTAGTCTGGTGAAATAAAGACTTTCCTCAAACTAAGCTTTATTTTTCACCTAACATAGAATAAATTCTTTTACAAAGGTAAGTTGTCTCATGGCATGTATTTTGGCCTGAACAATTGATGTTTTGGTTATAGTGCGGTACCACTTATAGTGCGGATTTTCGCGACTCCCGCGACATACGTTATATGCGGTCTACACTGTACTGTAAACAAATGTATGATGCCAGAAATATGTAACAATTGATAACACTCGGTGTGGGCAAGGACATATGCAGACTTGGAGCACTCAAACTCCCTCAGAAAAGATAGAAATAGCTGCCTAGTGCTAGTATTCAACTTTTTTACAGTACAAGCGCCCTTGTAAGAAGCCGCAACTCGTTTGGCTGTCTGGGCAGCTCTTTGATAGGGGTGCCAGTCTTTGGCACTGCTCTTGCGTAGCTTTCCAAATCTTGGTTAGAGCGAACCTCAAGTTCCCTGGCGCTATACTGCCACCTTCCATCTGGGTTTCGGTCCGTGGTTGACAGTATTGCAAATGTGTTCCTGAAGAGATGAGGCTTCTCTATGACGTAGAAATTCTAACGAAACCAGCAAGTCTGTACAAGAACAAACACACAGGTGACAAAGAGATGAAAGAGAGCTGCACAGAGCCGTGGTGCACAGAGCCGCTCTGACACAAGCGCCATTGCTTGTGGAACAAACTAATACATCAGTACGTAAGTTGAAGTTTTATTGAGGTTCAAATTATATTGTTGGCCGTGAACGTAATAACCGGGAAAATATATTGATGCAGTTCTACTGCAGTTAAGAATTTGGTGCATGCCACCATGTGGCATTCCTGTGTTTACCGAACATAATTCAGGCTTTCACATACTGTTTTTGTTTTTTCACACAAAAGCCCCACCTGACAAGTTTACCGTATTTACTCAAATCTAGGCCGATAGTTTTTATAAAAAAAATTAAAATCATAACTCGGGGGTCGGCCTAGAAACGAGGATGGGACTGACGCCTACACCACTTCGCAACAATGCCAGCGACCGAAACCGAAACTGCCGTATCTATTCGCCGTAGAGTCTCGCTGCTTCATGTTTCAGAAAGCTTTTGGTGCACGAAAACAACCAAAACAGCAGCAGCCAACAGCCGCCCCCCCTCCCCCCCCGTGGCCGCTGTTCGCGCGCATACCTCGGGCGTCGGGTTTCGCGCCTCCGCTGCGCGCCTCCGCTGCTGCGCAGCCTCCTGCATGCCCTCGCTACACAAGGGGGGACAGGGAGGGAGAACTACGGGATGCGCCATGCCAGCCATGCACCTTGCTCCTTGCCCCCTCCCTTCTCTCCTTCGCAAACGCGCACACACACAAAAACAAAAATGTTTACTTTCGTTTGTTGCTCACGGCGACTCGCGGCATTGCTTGCGTCTTTATTTGAAAACGCGGACATAAACCGCTAACACCCTTATTGGCTTCGTGGCCGATCTAGTATTGTATATCGGAAATAAATGCCGTTCTGTGTTTAATTTCCTTTCTAATCAACTTAGAATCGAGGATTTTTTTTGGCTTTGCCGTTTTGGGGGTTTGGCCTAGAATCGATGCCGACCTACAATCGAGTAAATACAGCACCTGAATTCGAGTGAAAGCGCCCTATTAAGACAGAATAAGATAATGCTGTTTTAGTCAATGCTGTGAAATAGGAAATTATTACATTCTCACATTAGAAAACAAAACAAATATTTTATGAATGTATATACCAGGGTGTCGAACCGAACCGAAAACCGGAACCGAACCGGTATTTTTTCCGGAACTGAACCCGAACCCGAACCGTTATATTGTTATCGCGATGAACCCGAACTGGAACTGAACCGGAAAAAAAATAACGGTTACCGGCTCATGTCAAAACGGTTCGGCCACGCGCTGTTGACAATGAATGTGCTATCAATGCCATTTGTTTTTTAAGTGCCAGCAACTGACACACACCTCGCTTACATATTTTTCTTCTCCACTCAGTCTTAGGAATATAAACGCTGCATCCATGAATCTTGACATAGGAACCAGTATTGCGCTGGTCGCGGCTTCCACGGAAGAAAGAATTGAAAGGCTGTGCAAAAAAAAAAAAAAAAATCGCGTCGCGGGATTTAATTTTTCCTACAATCTCGTAAATCCTAAATGCTGCTGTGTGCTCATTTCATAACACGTTTCTAGAACGCGCGAGTTCTTGAAGCTTGCTTCCATCGGGATGAGAAAAGAAAAGGCTGTGGAGTTTGATAATAATGCATCCGGTTTCGTATAGGCACTTAGAAGCTAACATATTTGTGAGACAGCGAACTCTTCTATTTTAATATTTATCCTATTACGTCCTTCTGGCGTTGCGTTCGGTGAAGTGTTTTTCATATTCCGTATCTTGTTTAATGAAAACTTCTTTAAGGGTCTAATTTGAGTTACCGAAGGCTAGTTCAAATAAAGAAAGCTGTATTTTCTCCCCACTGTTCCTTCAATTGCTTACACGCCGAGGTGGCGGGATAGTTAGCGAGTTCTACTTGTAAGTGGGTTTGTAAGGATGTCGCGGATTTTACAGCTACTGCGTCGGACCCAATTAGATGAAGTCCGAATGCGTAAACCTCGGTGAGGTAACCTTTGAGTGCACATAAAGAAACCATTCCTGGTAGAAATCCCTGAGCCTTACACTACGATGTATCCCGTTTTGTATGTGCTGATTTCAGATGTTTTATTTGTAATTTATTTTGATGTTGCAATTTGTCATTTATAATTTCCGAACCGGTTCGCAAACCGGTTCAGCGCCCCAAACCGGTTCGCGGATCGAATTAATCGAACAGGAACTGAACCGGATCAAAATAAATTTACCTGAACCTGAACCGTAACGGAACCCGTATTTTTTTCGGTTCGACACACTGGTACATTTGAAGGGTATATATACCGTACTTACTCGCATTATGAATGCACTTTTTTCCCGAAAAATTGACACATATTTGGGAAAGCGTTCATTACACTGGGTAAACTTTTTGCATTTACACACTTCGTGCAAATGCCATATTAGGTGCCAATATGACATGGCAACATACTGTGGCACGTCTCCAGTGATTGAGGTGCACCCGCGGCTGGTCAGGGGCGCGCCACAATAACCATGCTTTATAAATTGCAAACCTTTTTAGCGCGCTTTCGGGGTGCCTTTTGCGGAAGGAAAAGCAACACGACCATTCTTAGGTGATATATATTGCTAGTATTTGGTGGACACGCTCAGGTATATCCGCGACTATGCGTATAAGAACTCGTACGAAGTCCAACCCCCGAACTCCTGCAGTGTGCACCTCGCTGTGCCGTTCTGTTACGGATTAAATAAACGCATTTACCCGGAGTATGGGAAATTAGGCCTAACCAATTTCACGATTTCACTGTCCGAAAGCGGACCACAGACGACAGCTTGTTCGTTGACATCAATGCATCCGATAGGCGAAGAATGTCCGGGGCTCGGCAATTCCTTGACCCAAGCTTCGTCAAGTGTGCGCGACACTCGGTTTCACGGTTGATCACTTCCGTAACTACCACAACTACGCACTTGCGACCATTACGCCATTACGGGAGCGGCTTGGCTTGGCTTGACTTGGCCTGACTGCTTGGCGGCAAAAGAAAACTGGCTTGGTGGCTTGCTAAATTGGACGGAATTCGAGACTCGCGGATCCGAAAATTGGAGGTGTGTTGATTACGGGAGGGGAAAAAGAAAGGCAAAATATTGATGCCCATTGTGGGGGGTACGTTTATTATGCGAGTAAATACGGTACATGATTATGATGAAAGCAGAAATGAGTTGAAAAGAAACAAAAGAATGAAAAATTAGGAACCCGAGAAACTGTAATACAGGGGTCTTCTGCACGCCTACTAAATGAACTGCTCATTGTTCAATACTGAAACTTTACCAGAATCTATATGATTTGAAATGTTCAGCCCTATAGGTCACCTAGATGACGAGCATAAACAGATTTCACACATATCTGAATATAATGCCACGGTCCTTTGTGAGTAGCAAGCATAATTGGGCTACTTGACTGTGCAGCTCCCAAATGGTGCTAGCTGTCAGTTCCAAGACAGGGAGGCTCTGAGTGAAAACTGTTGTCGCATGAAAGCACCGTGTAGCATCATTAATGAGTCAAGTAGGCTTCTAGCATTTGATTCAGTTAATGTATACTGAATTGCAAGCAGGGTATTTGGCTGCCAGCATGTTCCTGCTCGGGTAAGCCAGCACGAGCTTTGCAAGCCTACTAAACTTTCCTTCATGCAGTTGCTGGACATGTTGACACACGTGAGGCACCAGTCAGTGCATCATGCTTTCAAGTGTATATGGGACTGAAACATTTAGATCTAGTTTTCACTGCTGGGGCTAGGTTCCCACGAAGTATGAGCGTTCGATGATGCAGTGCTCAATATTATGCCATGGAAACACCTAAATGGCAAGTCCGGTGGACCCTGCAGTGTGTAATTGAAGGGTAATGTCGAGGATCAATGTAACTTTAAATGAAAGGAACAGCAAGCCATAATGTTTTTACTTTTTAGTCATTTCTTTTTGCTCAGGTAATGCTGTCTGGTTGTTTCTGGTACCAATGCAATTAATATGATTGTGGACAGCCCATCACACTTATTTGGCGCAGCTCAAAGTTTAGGTGCGGGTCTCCCAAGTACTTTAAACGACTTGATTTTTGTGAGGGCCTAAATTTCGCGAAGTTTGTGACTTGAACAATATTGCGAAAAACTGTTCCCACGAATATACACCTGTTGTAATGAATACGCAACACATATCACTCAGAATCGTGAAATTTTGCATCTGCAAAATATTCCCAAAACTTATGTTTCGCAGAATTCGCGAAGTGCTTTAGCTGGTGAAAATACAGTTGTTTGTGGTACAGTGTAGACCGCATATAACGTATGCCGCGGGTGTCGTGAAAATCCGCACTATAAGCGGTACCGCGTTATAACCAAAACATCAATTTTTCAGGCCAAAATACATGCCATGAGACAACTTACCTTTGTAAAAGAATTTATTTTATGTTAGATGAAAAATAAAGCTTAGTTTGAGGAGTCTTTATTTCACCAGACTAGTACACTTCTCTCTCAAGTGTGTCACACATTTTGAAAGAAATGAGCGACCTTTGCCTGACACAGCCTTTTAACGGCGTCGCGGGTTGCGGACGGACGTTGCGAGCGTTCAGGATTGCTAACCCTAATCACTTTTCTCCGGTGATGAAAACGCGTGAAAATTCGCATCCTTTATACGGTACGCGCCAGTAATACCTTCAACTTGAGCACAGGCATGAAATACTCCAAATAAAAAATTCGGGCTATGTTCGAAAACACAAATGCTTAGAAAGCACCTCTGTAGTCGAAGTAAACAAACACGACGACACGGGCGTTTCTGCCGTCTTGAGAGTGCCGCCACGACATCGCCGCACGAGTAGGTGGATTTTCCCTTCTAGTACGTGCTGGGTTATCATAGCGGCACACAACGAAAATTCACAGTCAAGGATAGCGCTTTTACGCGGAATGATGAGCTTCCACCACGCCGTCTACGTCGACGATCACAACCGACGCCATGCTTGCGGAGAGAAGGCCGGCCCGCGACCGGCATGCAAAGCGTGCAAACACTTCTCCTCGACCTGCGATTGGTCTGTCGTGGTTGTTTCCAATGCAGGGGAGGGACGCACGCATGTGAACGACACGTGCGTGCGTCCCTCCATCGCTATGGCAACTGAAGCCTCTCGCTTCGCTTCTCCCCGCTTCTTCGAGCAACCTCCTTGCCCTGGGAGTGCCGCTTGCGACTAGCGCCGTTATCTAGTGTCGCACAGGGAAGCGTGCTCGCTGCGCCGGTCGGTCAGCGCGGTCGGCGCGCTGTTTCAGAAACCGCAGTATAACAGGTATTTCCCTTCGTGCGCCTGCATTTTAAGCGGTATGTAATTACATGGAGTTCTATGGGAGGCGAACCGGTGGTTTAAAAAAGCTGCGTTATACCCGGTCCCGCACTGTAAGCGGTTACGTTGTAAGTGGTCTATACTGTATTTCAGAAATAGAGAGACAATATGGATTGTGGGAACCGCAGTTGTAGCAAAAAGCCAGATCGTGCATTGTCACCCATATTTTGTAGGTACACACTGTGTGACACAGCAGAAACATGACATTCGTGTCGAATTGCACTTTACTTAGAGAGGGTATCGACGAATGCCAAGTTGTAACGCCTACATTGGTGCCTCAGATGAACACAATCCACCCCACTCTGGTCACTGACAGGGTGGGAACTGCAGCACTTCTATTAAACACACGGCCTGCAGCATGCAATCATTGCTCTTCACCGTGATCCTCAAGCGCTTGCACGCTCAAGGATTACGAGATGCCGAAGCATTATCGAAGGCAGGAAAGCTTGCCCTAGACGCGGGACTACCGGAGCTCCTCCCTGCTGTTCTCGTCCTGTCACCAACTATGCAGAGCGCAAGTTCATCTGCTTCTTGCGCAGGGGTTGCAGTGACGTCGAAACACAGAGGTCTGATTGGCTCTGATAGAAAGATAGTAGGTAGACCTCAAGGCAGCTAGCACTGAGGTCTACCCACTATCCTTCCAAACTGAGCCGGTCAGAGCTTGGAGTTTTGACGTCACTGCAACCCCTACGCTAGAAACCCACGAACTTGCACTGGGCGTCATTTTGGCCAGAAGGTTTCACTTGTGCAGAGAAGCCTGACAGTTGCTCGTTCCCACTAACTGTGTCGCACCTTGTACATGTGTGCGTTGAAAACGGGACGTCCTGCCGCTCGCGGCCGACTTACCCACGTGTCGTTCTGCCCGTCCAGGCATCGGCGAGGCAGCGGTCGGGCCGGGCAGGGCGGGTGGCGGCGGGCAAGTGCTTCCGGCTATACACGGCCTGGGCGTACGAGCACGAGCTGGAGGACAACAGCATCCCCGAGATCCAGCGGGTGAACCTGGGCAACGTGGTGCTCATGCTCAAGTCCCTGGGCATCAACGACCTCCTGCACTTCGACTTCCTGGACCCGCCTGCGCACGAGACGCTCGTAAGCAGGGCGGAGACGCGTCCTTCGAAAGGGTGGCCGCGGCAAGGGTTTCGGCGGGTGCTTCCGACTGCGCTCCGGTGGAGCACAACAACGTTTTCTATAGTTTCGTCACAATTGGAGTTTGTTTTTCTCTCAAAAACAGGGATGTGTTTTTGGGGGCTTATTTTTTTCTCACCGATCGGATGTTTTTCATGTGTTGGTGTTCTGTATCGGACAGAAAAATTGGCGTTCATCAGGTTTTGTGTTTGAGAAAACGGGACACGGTCGTTAGATTCCCCAACCTCTGGCGAACACGTGAATGAACTAAATGCATGGAAAACATTTAGCAATAAGAGGAGGAAATGAGAGGTTCCGAAAGGAAGAAGCAGCCTCACAGACAGTTCAGTGCGGGCCCTTCTCCGGGTCGACATAAAATAGAAGTTCATATAAGGATTTTTTCCTGTGAAGGTTGGGTCTACCTGACTTTAATTCAAATTCAAGGCTTCATTTTTTTAGACACACTGGAAGGGTCTCCCAGACTCCCTCAGGTCCGCCCTCATTTGGGTTTTTTTTTTTTACTTTTTTCCGATTTTGATAAAACTGGCTCAAGGACTACTTTTCGGGGTTTATCGGTACTACAGTCGACTCATTAATTCAAACTCTCTTAATTCAAACTTGCAGATAATTCAAACTAACATGCAGGTCCCATCCTATGCATCTCTATGGGAAAACACTCCTGATAATTTAAACTTTGCTTTATTCAAACAAATTTTTGGCCCCCCTCGAGTTTGAATTAACGAGATTCGACTGTGCTACCATATACCAGAAGTGCGAAACCCTACTAAATAGCATAAGAGATCTTTCTAGAGCGCAGCTCTTAGGCACCCGTTTCCAGCTTGAGTGGCGTTGCCGTCAGCATAACCGCACGTTGCATTATGGGACATTTTCTATAATGACGTCACGTGTGACGTCACGAGGGCAAAATTTTCCCGCTAAATTTGGCAAGAAAGATTTCCGCTCAATTTAGCAGGGAAATTTTTCCGCTAAATTTAGCGGGAAAATTTTCTTGCTAAATTTAGCGGGAAAATTTTCCTACTAAAATTTACCCTTGTGACGTCACGTCTGACGTCAGACATGACGTCACAAGGGTAAAATATTCCCGCTAAAATTGGCGGGAAATTTTTCCGCTAAATTTAGCGGGAAAATTTTACCCTCGTGACGTCACACGTGACACTCCCCTCTATACCCTCCCCCCCTTCAAAAGCTGCGCTCCAGTTCGGCATTACAGAGAATTGTAAACGTCTTTCATTTTTCTATTGTATTACGACCGGTCCAAAGTTATGAGTGTAATGGCATTGCACCAGTACCCCAGGAAGAGGTCTCAGAATGTCCTTTAGTCCTTTCCGGAGTTTGGGAGTCCAGCGACGGAACAAAGCCTAGTTTCGAAGTGTGCCCAGCTTTCTCCGACCACTCCCAGGTGCTGGCACTGGAGCAGCTGTATGCGCTGGGGGCCCTGAACCACATGGGGGAGCTGACGAAGCTGGGACGGCGCATGGCCGAGTTCCCTGTGGACCCGATGATGGCCAAGATGCTGCTGGCCTCGGAAAAGTACCGGTGCTCGGAGGAAGTGCTCACCGTGGCCGCCATGCTCTCGGTGAACAGCTCCATCTTCTACCGGCCTAAAGACAAGATCGTGCATGCTGACACGGCCCGCAAGAACTTCTTCAGCCCCGGCGGCGACCACCTAACCCTTATGTGCGTCTACAACCAGGTACAGAAAGATCTTCCTTTTCTCTTTGCACTTTTCTTCTTCTTTTTTTTTCTTGCCCAGCCATACAAAGGAGCTAGCTGGTTGAAGCTACAGTAGTCGGAAGAACTTGAAAAGGAACCTCAAAGTGGCAGCCAATATTTCTTTATGTTACTTGAAAGATGTCTTTGACTAATTTGTTTACCGTACTGTACCGCCCATTGGAGCTCTGCACGGGCCAATATTTAAGCGCCCGGCCCAGTTCAGCCCACTGTCTATTGAGCCCAGCCAGGCACATCTGACACTCGTTTTCGCGGGCCCCCTGAGGCCCGCTCTATTTTCAGCCACAGTGATGGAAGTGCTGCGCCAATTGCGCCAAATTGCGCCGAGGACGCAATCCTGCTACTTGTAGCGCCAAATTATTATTTTACCGAAGAATTGCGCCATGCCTGCGCCGAAATGAGATGTAGCAATAAAAAATAAAAATTGAAGTCTTATCAGAGCGCGTGGCGGTACCGCGGTATTTTCCGCGCCGCAACTGTTACGCAAACCGAAACTGCGAGGGCGCATTATCATCATCATCATTGAAAGGAACAACGTTAGAAACATCTGGGACCAAAGCCGCAGAGGCTAAGCGAAGAACCATCCCACTGAGCAGCCTATCTAAAAAAAAAAGGCCGAGCTTGTTGATGTTTTCAATGTTGACCCGCCTTGTTCCCGTGCGCTAGCTACTAGCGAAGTCAAAGCTAGCCAATGCTCTGTGCATTCCTGACTCGCGCGTGGGCTCGTGCAGTGTGGGCACCGTTACGGGCTCCATGCGTGCGCTTGTAGCTTCAGCTGCGCTCGCACCGAAGCTGAAACGAAGTATAGTTGAGTTGCACCAAACTCTGGATGCAGTGCTGGTAAAGCATCATCGTCCTTTTCAGAGCACAAAGCACTGCTCGACTCGCGCGACTACGGTGTCTGCTCTGCGGGTGTCGCTTCTCAGCAGCGTGTCGGTGCATGCCAAGGAGCGCACTCAACAGGTTAACTCGCCGTGATGTTGTGACTTCGCCAGCACATCAAAAATGAATCGGAATTTTTGAAGCGAATATCAGATACCGAAATATTTAAAGCTGGTGCCCGAAAGACAACTCTAATCTGAACTTAAACATTCCACAACAGTGAGGGTCTTTCGATGCTGTTGTAGATACCTTAAAATAAGTGCAGGCTGATAAAACTAAATATCCTGTACCATCAGAACTCAGTGTGACATATTTAATTGTATTTTTTGATCTGACAAGCAGATAAACTTTATTTAAAAATGTTTTTTTGTGTTTACTTTGTTGAATTATATATATCCTGTCCTAAAAAGGCGACAGGCGCTGTGTTCCAACAATAGAGATGGGCTTTATATAGCAATGCAGCATTATTTCATTTTAAAGTAATATGCCAACATATGCCGGACCCTGCTCCAAAAGGGCCACTACCTGCTCCGAAATAACATTTTGCCTGCTACAAGGCCTGCTCCAAAAGGTCAAATGGCACTTCCACCACTGCAGCCAGTACGACTGAAACTCTCCTGCCACTGCTACACACATTGACTACAGTACACAATAATCGGTGCTCTATGAATATTTTTTTTTTTTTGGCAGCTGTTACGACTTGAATTATTTTGCAGGTTTATGCAGCGCGTTAAAATAAAAAGTCCACCCCCGTCGACTTTTGTTTCGACCGTCGACCTTTCTTTCGGCGTTGCGTTCGAGTATTTTTGGGTCCCACTAGTGCCAGTAAGCTGGTTAATAGTGAGATACATTCCTACCCAATATCGTTGCATGGCCCCTTAAAGGGACACTGACAGGGTATTTATGCTCGCCGAGGTTTTTAGTCGTACACGACATATGAGAGCCCAACTACCCAGAACAGAATTTGCGGCTCGAAATTCAGTTTCTTTCTGCCCGAAAACCGCCGATCGAGAACTGGCCGTCTTGAGTCGGACGTTGTGACTTCTAAAAAGCTGCAAATACGCTGATTGAAAAAAAAGTTGCACAGAGAACTGGAAGCATTCTGTGCGTTCACTGCATAATTCTCAACATGGCGGCATATTGCGTATCATGGGACTCGCGGGCGGGACGGCAATGGCAGCGGATGACGGGCGTGCGACCCCTACTTCAGAACTGTCGTTTGTGGTACCGGCAAATCTGTCTTCTTCGAAAAAGAAGTTTTGGACCGTTTAAAAAAATTGGAATTCATTTTGTATGTCAGTTGTCTATTTTGTTCTGAACACTTTTGTTCACACACCCCACGGTGGGCAAACGCGACGCCGATGCTCGACACAGCTGTTGCCGTGACAGTACCGTAGATTAATGCGGGACAGCTCAATTTCTTAAGCTGCCCTTTAGACTCTACAATAATATAATAAAGAATGTTATATTAACATAGTATTATATTTAGTGGCTCTAGTTTCCTTGCGGTACTACACTGAACCGGTACTGACCGGCGGCTCTCGTCCCACCCTCGGGTCCCAGTGGGCCGAGACGGACTTCTCGACGCAGTGGTGCTACGAGAACTTCATCCAGCACCGGTCCATGAAGAGGGCCAGGGACATCCGGGACCAGCTGGAGGGGCTCATGGAGCGGGTCGAGATCGAGCTGGTCTCGGACCGCTCCGACACAGTGGCCATCCGCAAGGTGGGTCCGCATCACGGGGCCTGGAAAGCATCTCCGACCGCCGCACATACCGCGTCTTCGCTTTTCGTGTCTCGATTTCCACTCGTCGACATCGTGCTTCCGTCGTGCCGTTCATTGCCCACTGTGATAGTCGTGGTGGCACAACGGCAGAGGTTGACGCAGCAAACCCTCGTTTTGCTGTTGGCTTCTTTCCTGCTGGACGGTACACGGAAGCTTCGGCGGCTAAGAGTTGGGACTCTGCGACGGTGGAAATGCTCGCTTCCGATCGTCTATCTCGGCTGCATTTTTACGACCGATCGCCGGGCTTTTGGTGGCCGACGGCTCGAGCGGCCGGCTTCTGCAACATACTTTTTGTTTGCCACTTTGAAACTGTTCCAGACTAGTGGGTGGTATAAGGTGTTGAACAGGCCGGTCGACGATGCATTCCGGGCACTGTGGTCCGCAGTTATGGACTGAACCAAGTTTCGGTTGGCAGCAATTTTTATTTTTATCCGTTTTGTAAAGTACTTTGGGTCTGTGTGAGAAAGAACTGCAATTACCTTCCCATTGGAACGGTCCTAGGTTCCTCGTGCGATGCTCTATGTCCTAGAGCAGCTGTCGGTTGCTACACTTTGTTTTTTTCCTTTTGCGGTTTCACAACTTACAAGGCTTGCGGGTGCTTTGTGTTTAGCCTTTGCAAGCCCAACTGCTAAGCGGGTGATCCATTGTCAAGAGATAGTTTTTTCTTTGTCGATTTCGTTAAGAGATGGTGCCGCATGTTCGGTAAAGAAACGGATTATTGGGGTCGAAAAGGACAAGACAGTCTCATTGTAAAGACCAGTGCAAATAGACAGAGACTGGTATGTGTTCTATCTCATATGAATGTCAAAAGTGTTCATTCTGAACTGTAGTTAGCTGTAATAAAAAAAATGAATTCATGTTTCCTTTAATTGAGGCTCAAATTAGTTTTAATCTTTTGAACTAACTACAAACACTATGTTGGGGCACCTTTAATTACCCTTTCTACTTTTATGTAGAATTTGTGCTGCTAGAGTGGTTTGCACTTAAGCTTGAATTATGTTAGTTCAAAAATCCCTAGACATGTTGCTTGAAGTGATATGTGCAATAATGAACCAGTTTAACGTCATTTTTTCAGATTAGCCTCATCCTACAAATGGGCACCGCTTTACCCTGGAAGACCAGTGTACCTTAATTTTATTTTCATCACTTAAACCATTTCAACCCAATCATGCATTCATTAAGCTTTAACTGATAATGAAATAGAAAATAAGTGGTGTGACACAAACCTTTCACTAGGCATATTTTTCTGCGAGCTTGGTGTTGTTAAGGCATTTTTACCAATCTGAGAAAGTTGGGAAGAATATATTGGGATGGGTGTTACCTACTAGTTTTTATTAATATATGTGGTTGGATAAATGTAACTAAATTACAGCAAATTAATTACAACTATACTTGCAAGCTGTAAAATATTGAGCATACTGCTTGTCGCAATAAGTGGCCACGCTCTACTTTTGAAACATTCGAAATACATGAAAAGGACATATCAAGTGCCTACCCCAGCAAACTTCTGAGCCCACCAAGCAAACTGAAAGGCTTCTTCGCGCCTGGTGCTTCTCCGAACACGCCTGTGCAAAGCAGCGAAGCTTCACATGCGCACGTGCCATTTCAGTGCGGCGATGCTTGACGTCAAACCGTTGGTACAAGGCAGGCTTGTGATGCGAGTGGCACTGCTACTTCTTTCGCCTGATACCTACAATGCTCCTACACCTTTTCATTGGATGAAACGAGGGCCAAGCAAAAGCCTGGCCTGGCCTAACATGTGCCCCCTCTGCTTTTCCACTTTAGCCACCTTTGTGGCTCCAAGTCCTTAGGTGGCAGGTTCGAATCCCGGCTGAGGTTTGTGCAGTCCAACAGAAAAGGTGCCGAGGTTTCAGTCGCACGTCAAAAGATTTCTGGGTGGTGAATATTAATCCTCAGTACTCTGCTGGGGTGAGCCATATGCTTTTCGTTTGTTTGGAACGGGAAATCCCAAATTTTCGCTTTTCTGCTCTCAAACCTAGCGGGCGACCGTCCCCATGATTTTTTTTTTATTTTCCCAGTCTTTTGGGTGGATGCTCGTCTAATATTTTATGGTTATTACTTTGTAGTTGGTGGAAAGTGGTTAGCGCTCATTGCTGGTGTACGGCGTGTCCTTCCCAAAAGTTAGCAAGGTATTCTTTCACTGCAAGAATAAAGTATATGCTATGCATCGCCAAACGCTCATTCTCTGCCCAAATGTTGCACTAGTGGACCAAACCAGTTGCTAATGTTTTGGGATGAACCGTCATCTTATTCAAAAGTTATATAAGTGGGTTTCTTAAAATTTCAATGGGAAAATGGAGCCCGTTTTTGGTAATCGGCACCATTCAGCTCCATGTATTCGAGGGCTCCGTCGGCCGCCTTTTTCCCATTAAACATTTCAGAAAATCATTTATAAATTTTTAATAAGGTAATGGTCACTTCTGAAACTTTAGCCTCCCGTTTGAACTACTATCACTACTTTTCGGCAGAGAATGAGTATTCGGCTAAGCATGATCTATTTTTGCGATAAAAAAAACCCCGAAAATCTTTTTTTGGCACACCATGTACACATTGCTAACCGAAGTTCGACGCAATTCGCTGCAGTGACCCCCCGGTCCCGACATGCCATTTTTCTCTGCAGGCAATTACGGCCGGCTACTTCTACAACACTGCCCGCTTCTCGAAGGGAGGCCACTACAAGACGGTAAAGCACCAGCAAACGGTGATGATCCACCCCAATAGCTCTCTCTTCGAAGACCTGCCACGCTGGGTCATCTACTTTGAGCTCGTCTTCACCACCAAGGAGTTCATGCGACAGGTGGGCTCGCAGTCTCTCTCCTGGTTGTGTTGCGCATGTCGTCGTTTTCTGCGCACTGCCAGCGTCTTTAACTGCAACGTTCGAGAATCCAGTAGCGCGATACGGTCATATTTCGACATAACGAATTTGAAGGAAAAGTCGTTTGTTTTCTCGAATTTGTATCGCTACGCGAAAAAGCTCACGGATTGGCACTATTATAACAATTAAATTGGGTGAAAGAAATAACCCCGTATTTACTCGATTCTAAGCACCCCCTTTTTTTCACACATGCAAAGTTCAAAGAGATTCGGAACATGTCCCGAAAATATGAAATTAGCACAAGAAATATGAATTAATTATAATCAAAATGAAAGAATAAATGTTCTAAAGGAAATAAATAAAGACTGGAGAGTAGCCCGCTTGCCATCAGTTTGCACCACGGTCGACTAGTCACTCTCGCGACTAGTCTTTGGAAGATTATGTAGGGTGCAAGTTTCCGACTGTCGGCTGTGATGCACAGCATTATGGTCACCCTTTGCTTCTCATAGCCAGTCATACGCATTTTTACTTCTTGGGCGCCTACTTCGTTCACGGTGCACGTCCTTGGCATGTCGATGTACACAGGGGTCTCATCGGCATTACCGATCTGCTCAAGTCCGTAGCGAGATCCGCGACGCAGCTTCATCACATAACACTGGAAGTTGACTAGCTTGTCCTCAAAGTCCACGGGTAGCTTCTGGCAGATAGTGGTGCGGCGTCTCAAAGAGAAACCGTTCCTCTTCATCATTTGCTCCACCCAACCTCAGGTTGCGCGGAACGCCGCACTCCGAACTGTTCAGCAGCCTCGTGATTTCCTATGTCTTCTGTGTAAGAAATAACCATTCTCTTGAACTTCATAGTGTATGAAGTACTCTTTGCACTCGTGATGGACGACTTCCGCAAACCACGTGCCCACAGTGAACGGAATACGATTGCGAGGCCAACGCGGACGAATAGGCTTAACAGACTAATCAACCGACTGCAACAAGCGCAAGGGGACCAAACAGACAAAACATCTTCGATAGAGGGTACGACAACGCACCCACTTTCGCAACCAGCACGGATGCGAAAGTGAGTATGTGCTGCCATCTATTAACTGACGTTGAAACCAAGCGCCAGCGGCTGTTTGCGACTCAGGCGCTTGGCGATACCGGCGTCACCAATCTTAAATTTCTTGTTGGGAGGGGGGTGCTTACATTCACATGCAAACTTTTTCGCAGCTGTTTATGTTTGAAAGGGGGGGGGGGGGGGGGGGGTGCTTAGAATCGCGAAAATACGGTACCTTTGCCACAAGATGCCACTCGGTCATTTCTGATTAAAAAGCATTACACGCAACAAAACGCTGCATATTTTATCAAAAATAAATCTGAAATCTTCCTCCGGTGCGTACAGCACAAACACTGCGGGACTAATGATTTCACGTCGTCCACATTCTCGCAAAGCACATCGATAACCTAGGTACAGCTTCCAAGAAATTTGTGCAACTTGCCGACTGCACTCGGGACATCGAATGTGGAAACGAATTCTTCCCGTCGACCTGTGAGCACTGCCTCCATGTCTTCGTCGTTCCCCGTGTCCTCGTCGCTGCAGTCTTACTCTTTGCGGACGACAATTAGAACGTCGTCGGTCATCGGCTCTGCCGGCGTCTATGCTGCATTGCGAGGGTCCGCGGCAAGCTTCTCGGTGACTTTGCCCCACGTTTTGCGTGCTTTGATTTCGTCCGGATGCTCACCGCCTTCCAGATGGACTGGCGTTTTCAGAAGAGGAGCTCGTCGTCAAAAAATCGGACCAAAGCTCGCGGCATAAGGAAGTTTGCAAGAAGCCCCACCGGCTGACATACTGCGAGGAGCATGAGAACTAGGCTAGAGTTGGATACAATGTAAGAAAGACGGTGCGATGGGGCTAAGGGCGGAAACTGGGAAAGCTTGAGTGGAGAGGAGCGACCTCCTTTCCACCGTGGCTTTTCTCGTCCGCACCTTTTTCCTCCCTCACAGTTTTTCTTATGTTGTATCTGACTATTGTGGCACAGTGCGCATTTGCCGCCTGCCAACGTTTGCTGATGATGATAGTCGTCAGTTTGGAAGCTGCCTAGTGGCAGAAGCCGTAAAGTAGCGGGAACACACAGAATCTTTCGTTCATTTTTTAGGAAATAAATTTGTAATATTGAGGTGTTAACTACCCAAGTGATTGAAGTACTCACATTGTTTTGAAGTATTCGGTATTTTGAAACTGATGCTAACGAAATATTTTTACATTGAAAGCATAGAAAATCACGAGAGGATTTCAGAAATTTTCCAAAATTTGAAAACAATTAACTTGACATTCGCAGTGCGAACGTTTGACTGTATTTGACTGTATTTCTTCTCACCGTAGCAGAGTAATCACATTTTTTGGCTGACAATGTTCAGCCTTTGATGTAGATTTGATTGAAACCAAGTTAAAAGCTTGATTTTGGAAACCCACAATTTGCGCCTTTTGATTGGAGTGATCGGTAGCCGAGTGTTTTAATACACCGCAGCTCCAAGCCCATGGAGCGAAAGCTTGCGCTGCAAGACCCAGCGGTCCTGATCTCAACCCCTTTGCTTGTTTCGATCTGGATGAGCATCGTATCGGCACAGGGTCTTCTACAGAGGCGCCAGAGCTATTCAGGAGATGGGGAAGCGACGGTGGTCGTGTTGGGGGTGAGGGGGGGGGGGGGGGGGGGGGGGGGGGGGCTATGGCGATTATGCGCCCCCTCCCCAGTATTGTTTCCTTTAAATTTCTGAACTGTTTGAAGGGCAGTTGCCCCCTCGCCTCCCCTGTTCCAACGCCACTGGTCTTGTATCGCTACTGCATGATCCACATTAAGGTCCTTAGGCTAGCAGTCATACTGAACTGGTGAAATTTTTTGCCTGCAGCGGAGACGTCCGGGGCCCTAAGCTACAGAGTGGGAGGGACAAAGCGGGACTGAGGGACCGGGATATCACCGCCTGCTGCGATTGTTCAGCGCCGTGCCGCACCGCTCTGCTGACCAATCATAGCAGGCAGCGATGACCCAGTCTTTTCGTCCTGCATGGTACAGCCTAGGGCCCCAGATGCCCATTAGGACCGATTAACTTCCCGCCGTCTAAGCATATACGCAACATTATTAGCTTTTGATATAGATTGAGTAACCCAGAATAAATCTTGCTCCTTTGTTCCTCCCCACAGGTGATAGAGATTGAGAACAGCTGGCTGCTGGAGGTGGCACCTCACTACTACAAGGCCAAGGACCTAGATGACAGTTCCATGAAGAAGATGCCCAAGAACACGGGCAAAGCTCGGGCCGATCTCGTCAGGGCACAATGAGGGCCGCTCAATCGATAGACTCGCTCATCATCTCTTTGAACTCCCTCTTCATTTTTTACACACCGAAGAAAAAAAACTCTACAAGGTGTCACTGCGGCACGTCTGATTGTACATAACTGCGCAGTCTGTACATAGCTTTGGCGAAGAAAAATTTCTGCCAAATAAACATAATTTCGAATCATAAACACTTTTTAGTCTGGATTTTGTTTGGGCTGAACATTGCCGTCGTGAAGGATAGTAGTAAATATACAGGGTGTTTCCGAGAGCTATGGTGTGAAACGAAAATGATATAAGTAAGCTAATAAACGGTCTGCAATGGAATTTTTTATAAAAGTGTTTTTGGGGCTGAATTTTTCGTATTCGAATCTCGCACATGTGGGTTTCTGGAACAAATGTTTAAGCCAGAAAAATCGTATCATTCCTATGCACAGGGCGGTAAACAGAAGCAAAACATATGGTTGATGCTGCTATTCACGGCTGACACTACATGAAACAAAAACTTCCAAAGTTACTTTGTGATGAACACTCAAAAGCAGATGCGGCAGATCCGAGCATCTAGTACCATCCAAGTATTTGTTTGTTTCCCTTTTTCGTTCTGTGCATAGGCATAGCACGTTTTTCTCTCATACAATATTTTTCCTCGGACCGGCGTTTACGAAATTTGCGTGTGACACATGCACTGCCTAAGGACGCCTTCGTGAAAAGTTTCATGGCACTGCATTCATTGGCTTAGTTACAGGCCTTTTTTTTTATGCCAGATTAGCACTTTGGAACGCCCTGTAGTAAAAAAAATGGTCATGCATCATTTTTATTTGCTTCTCTAGAAGGACCATGTGAGCTCACTGTAGTGGCACAAGTAAAAGAAAATGCAAACCTCAGTGTTGGCCCTCACCAAAGTACCAGTACACAGGTGAGCAGCCATATCAGTATGGAGATCTTGTTTGAAAGACCATGTAACACAAATGCAAATAAGAAAGCGATAAGGAAATGATTGAATGCAAGAGGTAGAGTGTCGAATCATTCTAGGATATTGCCTCCAACATAAAAAAAAGGGATTTTTGTTCTGCTGCATTCTAAATATGATATATATTTATAAAAATTTTGACAGCAAATGCATAATTTACATCTTTGAATATATAAACACGACAGGGGAGAAGCAGCTGGAATTCTCCACCGTGTGCCATTAGCACAAACAAGTTGGCTCTTTTTCACATTTTGCTGGGAACAAGGTATTATTCATGAGTGTCAAACCTTTGCTACCTTGAATGAGCACTTGCCACTGCACTAATGTAGTTTTGATGGCTATCTTTCTATTCAAAGAAGAAAATAAGAAAGGTTTTGATTGCTTGGTCGTGCTGTGTCATGATGAGACTGAGAGGAAATATGTTTATCGGGAAAAATATGATGGTGCATCTGTTAAGAAACATCAACGCCAAAAGGGACAGAGACCTTGTATGCCAAGAGGGCATAATGTAGTGATATGTGCATTAGCTGTAACATTATTAACTTTTTTGCCCGATTTTATTTACAGTGGCCAGTTTTGGCTATTCTTCAGGGTATTTCTCCTGCCTCCATCATCCATTAAACAAATTTTCACTCTTTTTAATCCCTCGATTTGTTTGGAGCAAGTCTAGCCTGAAGTTGTCAGCTCACCAGTCAAAAGCTCCTCATTAAAATTGAATGCCCGCCAAGCTTGAAAGTGGAGCTAGCATTAAAACCAGCAGGCTCGATTTCTATCTAGCATTTCACAAAAGTATTTCTATAATGCATGGTTTCTGATCAAATTTGGGGGTTTTACGTGCCAAATCTACGACGGGCATCTGGCACGCCCCAGCGGAGGACTGAGGATTAATTTCGACCACCTGGGAATCTTTTGACGTGCAACCGAAACCTCGGTTACACGGCGCCTTTTCCGCAATAAGCCTCCGTCATATTGCGGGCACCTCAGTCGGGATTCGAACCCACCACCCTGGGGATCCGTAGGCCGGCGCTCTCGCCTCGGAGCCACCGAGGCGGCTATGGTTTCTGATGCAGAAGTCTCCGACGTTGTTGAAAAAGCAGGCCAGGTGTGGTTAATGCAAGCTTCTTATAGCAATATCTACACCAAGTTGAGTTGAGACTACTACTTGAACTGACATGAGTGGTACCGTGTTGGGAATCTTTTCTGCAACGGCATTCAGTCTGCAACAATAATTTAAAACAAATTTTTCTGGCAAGAAAGAAAAAGAGAATTAAACAGCAATTTTCAACACTATGTTGATTTTAACCCGCACACTGACCGTAATTTCATTTCCAACATGCTTAGGTCCCGGGACGTCGCAAGGTTGTTCAGATATAGTCTAGCTAGATGTCAACATGGTGCAACATTGCAAAGCAAAACTGCCATGTCATGGTGGTACTTGGACTATCCTGGTGCATTTTTAGCTTGTGTCACGATAAATATAAATAATGAAATATTGCATCACAAACCATCAAAAGCTAAGGGAGACCCCAAGATTTCACTAGGAAGAGGCCATCCCAAGTTTGAACTCTGGAACTTCCTCTTTGGAGGGCTGAACAGAAGCTTAATGCCATAAAAGCAGTCTCTACCTTATGATGTCGTAAAGTTCAACACTGTGGTAGTGTGTTGCAATACTGTGGGCACGCTTCAGGAATGTTGTGGTTAGGCAACATTATTAGCCACAAAAGCCCTCTCTTCTTGCAATGGTCACCGCATACCTGCCAAGTCTCTGATATTACCTGGGCGACTCCCGAATTTCGACCATTCCATAGGGTTTGTAAGCTTAACACCCCCCCCCATTCCTGCACGTAAACAAGGAGTTTTTGCCGTAGCAACAGACTGCAGCAATGATGGCGAGACCCAGCTGAATCTCGCTTGCATGAGCAGTGCAATACAAATGTAGTGACGTTAACTTCATGTGTATTCATTGTCAATATTTCTCTAAACCCCCACCCCCGTCTTAGAAAATCTTCCGGATTTGGTTTCTCAAAACTTGGCAGATATGTCACCATGTAACAGCTGAAATTTATGACATGATGAAAACTGTAGAGTCTAAATTATGTAAACACAGCTAGGAGCAGGCTGAGGCAAGACAGTGGTGCAAAAACAATTTATTATTACTTAAGTCGCGATTCCAGCCGCCGTGCGTTACATGTCCTCGTCCGTGTCGGACTCCTCTTCGAGCGCAGTCTTGGCGTACGTCTCGGCCTCCTGGAAGACGTCCTTGGGCACAAACTCGTGGTTCCCCTTGGACGCCTCGCACACCCAGCTGAGCTCCAGCTCGAAGTTCTTGTCCTTCACCTCGTCGTGGATGATGTAGATGATCTTGGCCGCCTCCTTGATCAGGTCCTTGCAGCACAGGTCCCTCAACTGCTGCTTTTCCATCTCTGTCTTGGCGGCCTGGCGCGCCTTGCCGATGGCGCAGCCGTAGTAGCCCCACGACGTGCCCGAAGGGTCGATGCAATACAGCTGGGGGCCGTCTGAATCGTGGCTTCCCATCAGCACGCTGCAACCGAACGGCCGCACGGCGCTGTAGAGCGTGTACGCGTGCATGTAGAGCCCGACCCGGTCCTTGAGGTATTTGAGCGGGATGGGGACCCCGTAGTCGGACCGGTAGTTGGACGCCTCCACCCGCGCCGTCTCGACGATCTGCTTGGCGTCGGCGAGGAGGCCCGCGACTGCGACGCCGACGTGCCGGTCCACGGTGAAGATGCGCTTGTTGGCGCCGGCTTCGTAGAGCTTGGACGTGACGAGCTTTTCGACGGCGAACACCACACCGTCTTTGCCTCGGAGCGCGACGGCCGTGCCGCTGTTCTCCACCGCCTTCTGGGCGTACTCTACCTGAAAGACGCGTCCATCCGGAGAGAACTGCGACGCCGAGAGGTCGTAGCCCGTGCCGATTGAACTCATGGCTGTGCACTAGCGGAGATTAAAGGATTTGTTGTGTAGTCGTTGTAGTCTTGTCACTGCGAAATCACGGTACGGTGCCTATAGGACCACAACTTTAGCAAATCACGATTGATGTCTACTGTGATGGAGTTCTGAAAGCAGGACGAGTTGTCGTAATCAACCGTTCACCACTAAAATAAAACTATAATGTGAATTTTTAAAAATTTATCGTGATAACGTAAATTATAAGTTGTGTTTTTTAGTTACAATTTAAATTTATAACAGCTATTTTAGCTCGCTTGCACATCACCAGAATGCCCAGATGAATGATAGCGCCACCTCTTTGAATTGCAGAATTTTGAATGTTTGGGAAAGATAAGCGTGGCAGCCCTCAGCTGGGCCGCTGGGCACCCGCCGCCGTCATTGCGGAGGCAGAGTTCAGTAAGAAGAACAGGAAAACTGCGAAGTGCACAAGAAAGAAAACTTCAAGAATGCCGCCCCCTGCGTGCTGCATACCCGAGTGTTCGCAACGGGGATATAGAGATAATTGCGGAAACAAGGTGCGTGTGCTAGGCTGGGAGCGCGGAACACCGCGCTGCAATAGCGTAAGCTCGACCATTTCGCGCGTTCGCGACTGAAAAGTTACCTTGGTGTTTCCACGGGTGTGAAAGTGTCTTCATCACTGTAAGCAAGATGCACCATGTTTGATTGTGTGGTAGTTACCCAGTTGTAATGCTTTTAATGCTCGCTTTGGGGTCTAGAATCTGGTAGTCGACTGCAGGTTATGGTGCATGAGCGTAAGGAAGTATCGGCTGCTCGCTTGTCGAAATGCTGGTGGTGTTATGTGCATTAGTAGTCGAAGTAGATGGAGCAGAGCAGATCAAGTTTGCGCACAATGTGATATTTTTACATATTCTTGAGCACCAAACTTTCGCAACTGGAAAGCTGTTTTTCATGTGCTGTCTGAGGAGAAATTTTGCACTCAGGATGTTAGTAGCAGATTTTCTGTAGTTTGCATGCCTTGCACCTGGCGTCATTCCGTCAGCTCTCCAGCAACCACAAAGGAGGAACTCCTCTCTCAAAGGGACTCTCTTATGTGTGCCCCAGACTTGTCCTGACGTCGCTATTCTCCCTGTAGGAGACTAACCTGTCACTCTAAATTCAGACAAAACCATCTTTCTTCTCGCTCTCTCTCTTCTATTCTGGAGTTCAATGGATTATGTGACATCAGTGCAAGGCGTGCTTGAAAGAGTTGGCTAGACATTTCTGCTTGGGCTATATTTGAGTGACTCTACATTCCTATTTTTACCCAAGGCTTGCGTAGAAATGCAGTCTTATATCGAGTTTACCTGTTTAATTTGTTTATGGTGATCTGGCATTGCTTACATTCCAGGTGTCCTTTCATAAGTTCCCAAGGAGCGAGGCCGTGTTCCAGAAATGGGTTTCTGCCATCAACGGCGAAGATTCCAAGTTTCTAAATGTTACGAAATCTTCATTGGTGTGTTCCAGACACTTCCTTCCCAGTGATTTTCAACCAAAAGTTACCGCTCGGCGCAGGCTCCTTTATGAGACAGCTGTTCCGTCCTTGTTTACCTTCAAAATGGCGAGAAACCATCTGAAAAGATCTGCGCCATTGCACCATTTCAAACAAGATCCTGCGCAGCCATCTGAACAAAGACCTGTACACTCCTCTGGACTTGAGTCGGCGTGCCCTTCACGAGACACGGACTCTTCCGAGACCCCTCCGCCCATGTCGGACTGTGGGGACGAAGATTTTAGCGGAAGCGACTCCTCCGTATCGCCGATTGGCGAAGAAACTGACTTGCCCCTACCTCTGGTTTGCGAAGTGGCAGACTGTCCGTTTGTTAGAGAAGTAGACATGCTGAAACGTCTCGTAGGACGGCAAGAAAAAGAAATCAGTAACCTCACGAAGCAGCTTGAATATACGAGAAAAGAGCTGAAAGAGACAAAGCATAAGTACTACAGAGCACAGGGGGAGAAAGATTATGCTCTCAACAAGCTGAGGGAAGAAGAGAAGAAAAAGGCCAACTTCTGCGTGGAGCGGTTCGCCGAGTCGAACAATGACATGATGTATTACACCGGGCTGCCGAGTTACCGCCACTTCACAGCGTTGCTGGCGTTTCTCAAACCGGGGGAGTACGGGGAGATTGCTCTGAACGGCTGGAGTCGGGCCAAACCCGTGGTGCTTGGTCGGCCGCAGAAGCTTACGGTTGAGAATCAACTCTTCCTGGTGCTGGTCAGACTTCAGATCAACACTCCTTTGCTCGACCTTGCTCATCGTTTTGTCGTTGGATTCTCGACCGCCCACAGGATCTTCGCATCTTGGGTTGAATTCATGCACTTAAAGTTATCAGCCACGTCTCTGGGACATTCAGAAAGTACAGTGCAGCAGGTAGTGCCAGGAACACCTGTAGAACAGTGTGGAGTGTCCAGTTCCCCCATTCGTTTGTCAAGTGTCTCCTTGGATGAGACGCAGATTGGGATGGACTTCAATCCCCTGGATGTCGTCGCCACCGTTTATGATGATGGCGAAGAGGTAGATTCGGTTGCTTCAGGTAAGGAGGAACAACAAGAATGTTCTCTCAAGCAGAAGGTTAGGAAGGACTTACCTGCACCTGAAGTCATTGCTCCTTTCTTGCCAAAGCTCCACAAGGCAGTCATCGAGCACTTGGCAAGGAAGGCAGAAGAAATTCCCGATTCCTAGTATACTTCGGACAGGGCAGAAGGCTGCCCGGCTAGAAGAAAGTGTCTATAAATTGGTCTGTTCCTATTTCCCCAATTTTATCATTGGTTGCTTCGTATGGTGGACACGTCCTGGAGTGTTTAATCTTAGAACGACACTGTGCAGGGTGCATACATTGTTATTTTAGGTCAGTGAATAGTCGAGCTGCTTTTTTTCTGTTAAACTTATCACATCTGCCTGCTTCATAAGTGTGAAGAGGCCAGTTTTAGCCTTGCAGCTCACTCCCTGCTTCACCTAAGTTCTACTCCTTAAACAAACATTAAAGAATGCCTTTGTAATTTGCAAGGTCTTTGAAAGTATGCAATGCAGATGAGCAGTCAACTGAACTAATGCAATAAAGAATAGTAATGGAGATATGATCGTATAACTCGGGAAAGGGCATGTCGCAAGAAGACAGCAGCACAACCAGTTCAGTGTGCGAAAAAGGAGTGCATATATCTGCCATTGGGAAACAAAAAACATTCTTGCTCTTTTGTATTTGTATTAGCCATTTTCAGGGATGGGCAAAATACATGCAAATATGTATCGAAATACAAAATACTTAGTCAAAAATGTATTTAATTACAAATCTAATTACATTTCCAAAAAAAAGCATTCAAGTACAAGATACAAATACAACCAAATGTATTTGGTCTTCTCCAAATACTTTTCCAAATACATTCCTCAAAATTTGCGTCAGCGACTTCAGTGCACCTGCAACAGATTTCTGGGTATCTCATTTTAATTTTGCATCGCACACTCGGGAGTTAGTGTGCGAGGCTCTAGTAACGTAATAGAAATATAATCACAAAAAAATGTAATCAGCTTGGACGTAATCGGTGAAAGAAGTACAGAGCTTCAAGCAGCTTTTTTTGTCGATTACATTTTGATATGGACCAACAAAGAACCGAGACGACCAAGACGTGCAGCACTAGAAAGAGAATTTTTTATTGTTGCGACTCACACCAGTTACGAAAATCTGGATGACCCGCGCATTTAGAATGTTCCAGGCAAAAATATGGATGGAAATCAAGCTGGAAAGCATCACAAGTTGTCACAGGCACTTGTTTAGCCAGTCTGCCTGTGAACGTCGATTTCGTCACTCTTCTTGCCCTGGACTGGCACCGTAATCACAAAGTCACTAAATGCTTGTGCTTGATTGAGAGACACTGCATTTGGTGCAGGACGTAGTTTTCTTCCTGCTCTGGACATGTCTTAGGATGAGCAAAATGAGTCGTGACAATAAATTTGAGGGATGTATTTTCGCCCACAAAATTGTATTTAATTACAATTATGTTTTAATATTTAAATACACACATCAAATACATTACCCAATTTGTAATTAAATACAAATGCAAAATGCACAAAGAATTGAAATACGTATTTCAAATACTTGTATTTGAAATACTGCCCATCCCTGGCCATTTTGCAGGGTGGCAGTGGCAAAAGTATGCCATACAACCTTTGGCACTGCACAACAGATACAGAACTCATAAAGTGAAAGAAGGAAAGAAGGCTAGACACTTTTATGCAGGACTGAACAAAATCCAGGTAGACACTTAAAAAAAACACATTCACAAGCATGTCCTAAATATAATCTTTTATCCTTTGAGGTCTATATACAACTGGTCTTTTACCATTATGCCAGAAATTAGTGAGTGTTGGTTTAGATGTTGGAAGATTTGGCGTGTTAAACATGTCGGAAGCCCTGTATACCATAGTTGGTGACGAGTTCAGGAAAAGCTCCTCCCACCCCTTTCCATTTCAGCAGAAGGCTGGAGAGGAAGCGGCCTCCTCTCTAGCATTTGCTTTGATAAAGTAGAAAGACTTGGAAGGAGTTTCCCTTGAACTCAATCTGCTATCGACTATAGGGTGTTTTCAGATGACGTCAATCCCCTGTTTTGTTAGTTCGTTTTTCATACAAATTTACTAATTTCAAGGGTTACATCACAACCTGTTCAAGAGATGTAAAAAGAAAAGTCAAATTGGACGTTTTAGTGATTTATACAACGTAAGGTTGGTGAACTCAATCTGCTATCGACTATAGGGTGTTTTCAGATGAGGTCAATCCCCTGTTTTGTTAGTTCGTTTTTCATACAAATTTACTAATTTCAAGGGTTACATCACAACCTGTTCAAGAGATGTAAAAAGAAAAGTCAAATTGGACGTTTTAGTGATTTATACAACGTAAGGTTGGTCTGCCAGTAGGGGCGACACTGGTTTACACTGTAGATGAGCAATTTTGCCAGTGCAGTACGTCTGCTAACCTGGGGTCTTTAACGTGCTCAGGCAGTAGTGATACACGACCGCACGCCTGTACGATGCTCATCCAGATCGAAACGGGCAGGGGTGGGGTCCGAACCCAAGATCCCTGGGTTCTGCAGCGCGAGTTTTCGCTCCACGCGCGTCGAGCTGGGTGTGCGCTTCAGCCTACTCGGCCACCGATCCCCCACCAAGAGTTGTCAGCATGGTAAGACTTGTAGGGCTCTGTGATCTATGCATTTGAGGGATCATGTAAATCCTTTGGAATGCCACAGCACACAACAAAATGGTGGACGAAATTACGTCAGTGAAAACACCCTAAACAGCAACCATAGGCGTACACTACGGGGGGGGGGGGGGCGGCGGCGGCATTGGGGCTCGTGCCCCCTCCCGGGCCTTGATCCTTACCGAGAATATTTCAGATTTGTGCTCGCCGGCGCATGGGCGATGAACACACGGCTACGCTTGTACGGTGATTGACATTGACACACAGCGACGGACACGTGGCGATATACATACGCACTAAAATGTACTCCCTAAAATAAGCTACTGATAATTGACGATGTAAATAAAAAAATGTTGCGCGGAAAAGCAACCCCAAAGAACTTCTCAGCCTGCCCCCCCCCCCCCCCCCCCCCCCCCCCCCCCCCCCGGGAAAATGCAGTCTACGCCGCCTGACAACTGAAATCTACAAAAATCACATAGGCTAGCCCACACGATACCTTTTCTTTTGTCTAAACAAGGTATCCAAACTAGCAATGAAATTAAAGGGACACTGACAGGGTATATATGCTCGTCTAGGTTTTTATTTGAACATGACCTATAAGGGCCCAACTACTTAGAACACAATTTGCGGCTCAAAATTCGTTCTTTCCGTCCGAAAACAATCGGTTGAGAATGTGCCGGTTTCGGTCGCGCTGACACTCGTTTCCATGGTCGCGTGGCATTTAAATTATGCATACCAAATATATTCAAAGTCGAGGGTTATCTCAGAAAATCGCTATTATAACGAGAAAATAATATGAACGCCATTTTTGTGGCCTCCAAGAAACTGCAAATATGTTGATTGAAAAAAAATGTTGCACAGATCACAGGATCATTCACAATATGGCGCCGTACCGCGGGCTGGACGACGCGATTGCAGCGCACACTGAACGACGTACGTGGGGCCGCTACTTGGGAACCGTCGTTCGTGGTACTGGCCAATCGATCTTCACGGGCAGAATATCAAGCGAAACAATCCACGACAAACGATCCACGCAAGTTCGTCGTTGCTGTAGTCGGCTTCAAAACAAAGCTAAAACAAAAGGAAGTGTCTACATCCATATATGTCTACATCCACGCGCGGGGATGTAGCCAAGTCGGGAGGAGACAAGGCTCCATCCAGGGACCAGGGATGGGCAAAATACATGCAAACCTGTATCGAAATACAAATACAAAATACTTCGTCAAAAATGTATTTAATTACAAATCTAATTACATTTCCAAAAAAGTACTTAGATACAAGATACAAATACAACCAAATGTATTTGGTCTCCTCCAAATACTTTTCCAAATACATTTCTCAAAATTTGCGTCAGCGGCACCTGCAACGGGTTTCTGGGTATCTCATTTTAATTTTGCATCGCACACTCGGGAGTTAGTGTGCGAGGCTCTAGTAACGTAATAGAAATATACTCACAAAAAAATGTAATCAGCTTGGACGTAGTAGGTGAAAAAAGTACAGAGCTTCAAGCAGCTTTTTTTTTTTTGTCGATTACATTTCGGCATAGACCAACAAAGAACCGAGACGACCAAGACACGCAGCACTAGCTAGATAATTTTTTTATTGTTGCAACTCGCACAAGTTACGAAAATCTGGACGACCCGCGCATTTAGAATGTTCCAGGCAAAAATATGAAGGGAAATCAGGCTGGAAAGCATCACAGGTTGTCACACGCACTTATTTAGCCACTCTGCCTGTGAACGTCGATTTCTTCACTATTCTTGACCTGGACTAGCACCGAAATCGCAAAGTCACCAAACGCTTGTGCTTGATTGAGAGACGCTGCATTCGGTGCAGGACGTAGTTTTCTTCCTGCTCTGGACAGTGACAATATATTTGAGGGATGTATTTTCGCCCACAAAATTGTATTTAATTACAATTGTACTTGAAATACCCACGTTTTAGTATTTAAATACACACGTCAAATACATTACCCAATTTGTAATTAAATACGAAGGCAAAATACACAAAGTATTTGAAATACGTATTTCAAATACTTGTATTTGAAATACTGCCCATCCCTGGCTCCATCCAGGCACTACGTCACTTCTGGCGTGGATGTACCCCCCCCCCCCCCCCCCCCCCCCGACTTCCGGTCTGTGTGCGCGTGCGTGCGCTACAGCTACAAGCGCGAGCGGGTAGTATGTAGAAATCCAGACTGCGCGAGCGTGCGCACAAGTCAAGGACGTACGGACCGGTGGGCTCGCACTTGCCCCTTCGATGCACATAAGCCGCCTCAACCAAGTCAACCACACACACGACGAAGCCTCACCGCCTCGGCAGCGATGCACACATGGGCGAAAGCCCCGGAGGCCGCACCCGCACCAAGCCCACCACGCTCACACACACAGATGGCATGCACGCCGCCCACACGTGTGACTCCCGGACGACATAACTATAAAGATATATTGATGCTATTTTTATGATGCATGATATTTGCTATTATAGTTAGAAAACAGTGAAAAGTTGATAAATTGTCTAGAAGGTCACGTGACACATTAACTTTAATAGCACTTTAATAGTTTAATAGCAGACGATCCTTTTGATCATGGAGAAAGCACCCGAAGAACGGTAATGTTAATGACGACGCGGTGTATTTTGAGGTGGATCCACCAGCTCCTTTTACTCACCTTCGTTTTGAGCTGTATATTGAGATCAAAATTACTTAGTCCTTACAGCTAGACATAAAAAAATGTGTTTTTATTAATCAGCGCGATCGCTGCAATTCTAGTCACGGTGCCCTAAACGCATATATTCCACGCATTGTAATTTGCACCGATTATGTTTGGCAGAAATATATTCCACACGGTGTAGCGGTCCAGCGCGAGGGTGCTTTCTCCAGAATATGAAACTCACGTTCGCTTTGACGCGAATGTGATTACAGTGCAATTTTCGAAGCCTTCACTGCTTTACAAACGTTATCCTCTCATTACACACACTCTGGAGGAAACAAAAATATTACATTATCATATACCGAGTTCAAACATTTTCGGCCTTGAACGTGAGATTACGGCATTCCCCCAACGCCGAGG